ACAGTCTGTTCGTTCAAAGTCACCAACACAACCAAAAGAACCTGTTCCCCCAAAGTCACCAACACAAACAACACCAACCCGGTCCGGGACACGTTCAAAGGGGAGGTGTAAGGGTTGCAACGAGACGATTACAGGAAAATCGGTGTCATCCTCGGACGGCCGTCTCACAGGTCGATACCACCGTGGTTGTTTCGTTTGCTTTGAGTGCCACTCTCCCTTCCAAACAGCCGATTTCTACGTTCTCAACAACAGACCCTTCTGCGCCCAACACTACCACGAGCGCAACGGGTCCCTTTGCGCCGGCTGCAACACCGGCATCGAGGGTCACTACTTGGAAACCGTCGAGCGGAACCCTGCACGGCCAGATCGCCGTCGATTCCACACCCACTGCTTGCAATGTCGTACATGTCATGTCCTTCTCAAGGGCGACTACTTCGAGTGGAATGGTGAAGTCTTTTGCGAAAGAGATGCGCGCCGAGCCGCTGCTGCCTCCCACCCACCACCTCCTGGTCCTCCTGGTCGTCGCCGGCCCAACCTACCCCCGTCTCCCCTCGCCCAGTCCGGCCAATTCTCTCCCGGTCCGTACCCTATGCCTGGTGGAAGACTTGGACCAGCGCATGGACCTGGACTCCACCCTGGTTCCCGATTCCCCACTGGAGGTGGAGGGCGGTTCCCCGAACGACGGACTACTAGGCTTATGATGATTTGAGAAAATCGTCAGCACCTTCTCTTCTGGGAACCTTGGGAAGCACTGGGGTTTTATATTCCTCTTGTCCGCATACCGCGGATTTCACTCCCCACTTCCTCCGTTCCTTTAAACATCGCGATATACCCTTTGCTATCTTACCCATCTGACTTTCGCTGGCAATGGCGTTTATCGTCTGTTTTTCCCTCGCATCGGGCCCATCCTTCAGTCTGCATCCATTGAAAACGCCTCATGGGGATGTTTTTTTTTGTGATTTGGGGGCCACCATCCGGGGTGGTATATTTTGTTGATCTCTTCCTCATGCCGAAATGCTCTAATGTAATTACTCTTTCTCGGCTAGGTGTTTTATTAGCGGATTATTTCTTTTACAGGATTAACAAGTTTAATGGACACAAGATTTAATGTCGCTTCTAAGTTTCATCTGTCACCAACAACCGAAAGTCATGCCTCATTATATCATCATTAACCATCAATGTGCCACCCCCACCCTCATCTCGACACTACACAACTATTTCGACTTGTGTTTCTCAAACTCGAGTCGCTCAACCGGGGTAAGATACATCCGTTTCAAGATCCAACCAAAGCAAATCACATAAAGCGCCACCGCGATGATCTGAATCCGTTGTCGCAAAGGGATCCGATCTAATTCGGGATTCGGGGCACCCAAAACACCCGTATGTTCCTTCTCCCACCCCTCACAGACCTGCCGGAACCGACCGGGCTCATCGGAGATAACTCCGTCGATCCCGTGCCGGATGCACCATCGCATTAGATTCGGCGCATTCACCGTCCAAACATACACTTGACGTCGGGCTGCGCGCGCCTCGTCTAAAAACCCTCGCCCGAGCGGGCCCATCAAGATCATCTGGTTGACGTTGAACGAGATTAGGGGTACTTGGAGGAACTGGCGCGCATAGCTCAAGTCAACGCAGATGAGCGTAACTGCGTACCGTGGCAAGTGCTTTGCTCGTGCGGGTAGGTATCGTGCAGACCAGCAGCCGAGAACTATTCGGCGGTGCCAGTCGGGCGCGTCCGTGGGTTTGGGGACTGACTCGATGGTTTTGGCAATTCGTTGCATTATATCGAAGGGTTCATTTGTGAGCTGGAGTTAGAGTTAAGGTTAGTCTTCAGAGAGAGAGAGAAAGAGACAATGTCCGAGTTGGGGAGAATAGCTTCGCTACCTTTATGTCTAGCAAGATCCAGAAATTCTCCCGACCCGGTTGGCTTAAGTATTCCAGCACATCGATCAACCGGGGCATTGGTTCGTGGGGGGCTTGTAAGGTTCGCAGAGTTTTTAAATACTCCCAGTCGCAGTCGATGACCTTTTTCTTGATACCGTAGCAGCGCATGAGGCTTGCATCCTTGGAGATATAAGCGTGGTCCTAGATCGCGGGTTGGGTGTACCTACATGTGACAACACCACGATCCCATCACGGGAGATATGGAGATCGAGCTCGAGGGCTTGAGCTCCAGCCCGGATTGCACCATCGATTGATAATAGAGTATTCTCGGGATATTGGCCTTTGAAGCCTCGGTGGGCGATGGCTTGGGGTAAACGCGGGGAGGCGTGGGCAACCGCGGAGTGGTGGAAATGAGCTTGCCGGGAATGAGTTAACTTGACAACGTCGAGATGGAGGTGAAGGTACCTGGAATTTCTTGGAAATGCTCTTCCGGAGATATTGGTGATGTGTCGTCCATTTTGAAAGGAGTTGTGAGAGTTGAAGAAGTGAAGGAGTGAAGAATGGAGATGGGTTGATCGAACAGGGCCGTCGGAGTTTGGCGGAGATAGGCCCCGCTGCACTGCACAGCCTACGGTGGATGGTGCATATTTGCTTGCCGGACTTGCCGTTCTCTCCTGTGGGAGAACACCAAATGGTTAGTATCAGCACTAAGTGATATCCATGTTGTCATCGATTGTCAGAGAGAAAGCAGCCCTGGGGCGTTGAAGATGTTGGTCGAACACCTCGATTACTCAGCACCTCCAAGGTCTTGATGGATCCAAATCTCCAAATTTCTCCAACTCGATTTGTGACCGGCTTCAGTTCTTAATTTCACCTTGTTGCAGTTCTTTTCAATTGAGCCTGTTCTTCAAATAGAGTGGTTAAGAATGGCCGTTAAACAATGGGTCTCGTCCTTAAAGGGTATTGACGGCCTTAGCCAGACCGAAGCTCCAATGCCTGCAATAGGGCCAAGCGAAGTATTGGTGGAGATCCATGCTGTCTCTCTGAACTACCGCGACGTGGAAGGCAAGCCAACTGCCAAGAATGTCTGTGCAGCATTTATGCTGACCGAGACTTCCAGTGACTAATGGCGAATATAAACATCACAAAACCGCCGAACAAGATACCATGATTGTGCCCTGCTCAGACATGTGTGGAGTGGTGACACAGGTTGGGCCTGACGTGACCAAGTGGACAGTTGGTGACCGGGTGCTTTCGACTTTTCTGCCCGATCATCAAACCGGCCAGGTGACTGAGAAGGAACTTGCCAAGAGCCTGGGGCTGCCGCAGGATGGTGTCCTTGCAACTCACCGCATGTTCCCTGACTATGGCCTGGTAAAAGCGCCTAGTTTCATGTCAGATGAGGAGGCGGCGACGCTTCCCATTGCTTCAGTCACGGCGTGGATGTCTATCAATGGCATGCGACCGATAGGGCAGAGTGGCGGACAGGACGAATACGTCTTGCTCCAGGGAACTGGTGGCGTGGCTATCGCCGGGCTGCAGATTGCAAAGGCCGCTGGAGCGAAGGGTGGGTAAACGAATTTATTAACGTTCATAGGAGTAAAATGCTGACCCTGCAAACAGTTATCATCACCTCCTCGTCCGATGTCAAATTGGACCAGGCTAAAAAGCTAGGTGCTGATTTTACTATCAACTACCACACAAACCCCAACTGGGAAGCCGAAGTGATGAAAATTACTGATAATCGCGGTGTTGATATCATCTTGGAAGTTGGCGGTGCCAAAACCTTGCGAAAGAGCTTCGATTGCATCGCTTTTGGGGGATTGATCAACTGCATTGGCTATGTCTCAGGCAAAATAGATGCCGATGAGGACCGCCTGAATGTCAATTTATTGACTCTCCGTCGAACTGTGACACTCAAAGGGATTATCAACGGTCCTAAGGATCGGTTTGAAGAGATGATCCGTTTTTATGAGATTAACGAGATTCAGCCGGTAGTCAACCGAGTCTTTTCGTTTGCCGATTCCAAAGAAGCATTCAAATTCCTGGAAAGCGGCAGCCACTTCGGCAAGGTAGTTATCAAGGTTCAATAGAGCCCTCAAGCTCTAAAAAATTGGAATTTCATTGTCAAATAGTTCAGAAACCCCGAGAACATTCACTTCTAACTGTTTCCACTCGGCTTGAGTACTCCGGCAGCAATTCCCAGATCTTCTCCCATTTCCTTCCCGGCCACCGTCAACTTGTTGCAATCCTGCAGCACAAACAGGAGACGAGCCCATTCTGTCTCGCTAGTATTTCGCCACCCATGCATCGTAGCCCGTTGTACCGCAACACCCCCTCGGTTCATGATGACTGGGTCGCTATCTTCCAAGATCATTTCGATTTGTCCTTCGAGCACTACACCATAGTCAAGACTCTGCGTCCGGTGAACCACGGCCCGGTTGTTGGGGGCGAAGTCCACAATGCGGCAAACGGTTCCACCAGGGTTAACGAGGCCCAACCGGTTCGATCTTTTCAATGTCTCGTAGGTCTTCACGTCCGCGTCATTGTTGAGATCAGGATAGAATTGGTTCGTGTAAACAACGTTAAATGCCATCCCTTTTTCCTGGAGTGATTCCCATTCAGCCGGTGTCGAGGAATGGATCACTGCTTTTCCGTTTTCATTGTGGCCTGTGACATGCCGTGTTATGGCTCGCAGAGATGATAGCTGGCTGGTATTGGAAGCCATCGTTTATCGGATGAGGAGTGTAATCGGAGGCGAGACACTGTAAAAATCAGGCAAATGTCCAGAGAACAATGTGAGCCCTAGGACTGTGTTTATATTCCTTGATCCACGTGATGCGGGCATGTTGCATGGATGTCAAGAAACCGGACAGCGGTGAGCTGGATGGGAGTCACATTGGCTCGCGGGTATTTGCCGATCGATGTGGGCATATTCAGAAGCAATCGACAGGTCTAATTGAAAGATTGTCAACTCGGTTGCCACTTTGGACGAGGACTGCTCAATGGCCCATACTTGTGAGATCGACCACACACAGGAAAGATAACGGAGATGAATGTTGCAGCGATTTTCAGCTGCTTCGATGTACAAAGTACGCCAGGAAGAATCGGGATTTTCTTTGCCCAGGTCCACGGCTAAGCACCATCCTTCTTACGGCGCTAGGCATTTAAGGGAATTTTTAGCTTCGCTGATTATCTCAACTGAGTGCTGTTTGGTCTATCAGAGCTTCGATTGCTTTGCGCCAGGTCTTTGCAAATTGGGACACATATTCGGCAAAGAATCCCTCAACGACGTGTCCAACGTGGTGTCTGGACGAGTCATGCACTTCGAAAATATCACATTGCCGTGGGAAATACATTAAGCGTAACACGGATAGCTCATCCAGGACGCGTGCTCCTACTGCATCTTCCGTCAGATCGGGATTCAAGGCTAACATCTGCACCAGATCAAACGATAAATCCTAAACACATCTTGCATCGCTCATTACCACAATCTCACTTCTTGAACCATAGGGTGAGCGGCCATTGTATGCTATGTCCTATAAGCGACAACTGCAAGTCTTTATAATTTTCAAAGGTACAAGAATAGAGTGAATTACAGATAGTCTGCATAATTGGTTGTGCTGAACCGATGGTACTTCAGCGCGGTCAGCTTAAAGGTGATAAATATTCCGGCCTGTTATAGATACATCTACAACATAGTGTTCCGCAAAGCCCAACCCGCAGCCCTTTGATGGGGGTCCACAAGGCCCCTATGGTAAAGCCCATGATTACGCATAACCACAGTCTTAGCATACATAAAATGGCTGAACAATCTCTGTTTTTTACGTATGTTTCAGCCTGCATAGAGCAGCCTATATGTACTAGAGATCTCGAGGCCTAAGGCCGTGAAAGGAGATAAACGCAAAAAACGATTCTCACTCGGCCGTTGTATGTTTTCATCTCCTCGACGCGTCTTCTTCGTCCGCTGAAATCTCTCTGTTGCTGTAGTATCTAGGGATCAAAATATAACGGACAATTTAGGGCTTAAGTAGTAATCATTATACCCAAAGTTACTGGGAAATTCTACATTACACATGTAGCTACTACGAATTGGTATATTTGCACGGTTTAGTGCATTTTAGGCCCTATTGGACCCCTATTCAAAGTCCAGCCCGTTTTTTGAGTTAGATTAGGCTGGGCTAAGGGCGTTATGGGCCTTGCGGAGGTCTAGATACATCTACATGTAGACCGACACTCAGATGGTGGTATCGACGGATGGAATCCGCTGTAGGACCCAACGAACTTCATCGGCGACTCTTTCAGGCTCGGTGAGCTGAATGGTCTGACCACTCTGGGACATCGTGGAGAAGCGTGCATTAGTCGACAGATTCAGAAGTTCACGCTGAAACGCCTCCTCGCTGTGGTCCAAGTTGGCTAGATATTCACGAAAGGTCGCTTGCTGAGCGTCAGTCCCCAACCCCTGTTCCACACCCTGGTGGTACATCCGCCTCATTTCCCGGAGAGAGTTCCCGCGAAGCACACTAAGCGGCTTGCCGTGCAACAGATCCCGACCCCGGGCGGAGTTGTTGCTTCTTGGCTAGGACGTCGCGGCTGATCTGTAACTGGGGTAGCTCCCGGGCGGCCTGGCGCTCGTGGTGGGGGCTACGCTCCTCGGCTATCAGCTCCGCCCACTCGGACTCGGTCAGTCGGTGATCGCGGTTCAGACCCACAACCTCCCTATAGTCGAACCCCGCCGTGACGGCAGCGATGCTGGGATCGGGCCACGTCTCGGTGAACATCCGTTCTTGCACGGCATCCACAAGCACCATGCCGCAGATGTCTTCTGGCCTGCGCGTGGCCAGAAACTCCCGCGCGAGCATCCCGCCCCATGAATGGCCTACTACTAGGTACGGGGGTGGAAGTGCCGCGGCAAGTAGCAGTCTAGACACGCTCTTCGACGATCGTCAAGGAGTCCGGCTCCGCTGTTGGGCATGCCTCGCTCTGGCCGTAGCCGGTCCGTTGATATAGTAGGATGGATGCCTCTTTCTCAAGATGGCGACACACTCCGCTCCATTCTAGTGTGCTGCTCGTGATCCCAGTGATTACCACCACTAGCGGAGTGCCGGGTTGCCGAGGGATCCCTCACAACGCATAGCTTAAGGAGTGGGGTTCGATGTGAGCGGTTTGCCGGAAGTGCTCCATGGTATAAAGCGACAGGTGGGTTTTGGGAATGAAAAGCTGCATGCAACTTAATCTCAATTCGAGAAGAGTGAATTCAAACACTCAAAAGGGTGGGGATTCTTTTAACGGCGGAGTCGCCTTTCGAATTTTGAAATTTTGGAATTAGGTGGCCTAACATCAATGGCTCATGCTACATGAGCTAAGTGTTTAGCTGCACCAAACACAATTTACACGAAATCACTGGGAATAGCAATGATTTTTATGGTTCCTCGCCCCTTGATGTTCCCCGAATGGACGATTCTCCCAATTGAAGAGGGAACGACTCACATATGTACTCTACCCAACGCTACTGTAGGCAAAACAACCTTTGATTGACTTCATTATTAGTAATACGGAGGAGCCGAAGTCGCGATGGGTGGGATAATGCAGGTATTATGATACTACCAAGGGACACTACGTCGTTGCTCGTTGAGGTCACCATTGATTCGGCCCTGGATCATCCTGAAAGCAAGCAAAGGGGGTTGAGGTCAAATTTTACTGACCAGTACCATATAATTACATGGAGTACCCTTTAAGGTAAGAAGTACCACTTCAAGGCACTTAGAGTATACATGTGGTCGACAAGTTGAGGAGTTTGGAGGTAGGATGACTGTGTACGATGTTCGGGAACATCTAGGTAGGTTAACCAATTCGATAACTCGGAAATGAGAGTGAGTAGCTAGAACTCTGCCTGGGAGAATATCTACCGATCGGAGTTAAATCCTGGGTGGCCTACTGGAGGACGTCGCTCGTAGGTGTCGCGATTAGAGAACATGAGGCGTATAGAGGGATAGACATTCATTTTCGCATAACTAGATACAGATGTGAGATTTCGACCTTCTACAAAAACCATCGGAAATCAGCAGACGCCGGCCCATCTCTCATTCGCTCCGTTGGAATGTCCCGTGCCCGAATGGTGACTCCATCACTACGGTCGCGTCGTTTGTTGTCCAGCCACATGTAGAGTGCCAGGGAAGCCGTCAGACAAGCGCCAGTAGCACCAAATGCAGCAACGCTGATCAGCGCAGGGTAATACTTGGGTGCATCTTGCTTCCGGAACAAGTTGCTGCTCACCAAGCCCATCAAGTTGGCCAATGGCACGCCGATACTAGTCAACAGTACACGGCGACCCTCATGGGCAATATTGTTGTTATACCAGGTACTAAGCATCACGGATGGCGCGGATGTTCCCCAAGTCATCATGAAAGTCGCAAAGTACGCGACCTGGATGTCAGTCTGGACATTGTCGATGGATGCATAGATCATGAACCCGGAGAACGTAAGCAGGAAACCCAGAACAATGAATGGCGATCGGAGTCTGGTCCAATCTGAAGAGAATGCGAGTAGCAACAGCATCACTGCTCCTGTCACATTTGGTGCCACGGTGTATAGGTTGGTTTTGACGGTGGGAAAACCCAGCCCTCCGACGATCTGCGGCATGAAGAGCGCCACACCCTGTAAAGGCACGCCGAGACAGATTTCAATGCACAAGAAGGCGTATGTCGTGGGATGTTTGAAGATGCCTAGGGCCTCGCGGAAGCTGAACTTCTCGTTGACCACTGCACTGGAGTCGACCTGAATTCGGTGAAAAGCTAGCGCCTTCTCCTCCTCGGTTAAGAACTTCGCCTCGGCCGCGCTCCGTGGAAGATAAAAGAACGCAAATGTGGCCAAGATAACAGTGACGCCGCCCTCAATAATGAAGAGGTAGCGCCAATTGGGGATCGGAGACCCCTCGATCTGGAACACTCCAAACGCAATGAGTCCAGAGAAGGCGTTTGCAATGTTCGACGCAGCGTAGAAAACAGCCAGGCGACGAGCCAGCTCGCCACGACGGTAGAATGTGGTCAAGTAGTAGATGACCAGCGGGAAGAATGCAGCCTCGGACATGCCCAGGAACCAGCGCAAGGCGAACAGACCACTAAAATTGTAGGCGGCGGAGGAGAGCATCGTTAAAGAACCAAATGAGAACATCAGAACTGGAAGTACGCGCGCTGGACTGAATTTCTTTCCAAGCATCGAGAATGGCGGTGCAAAGATCACAAATGGAATGAAAAATATCGATAACAGGAGATTATACTCATTTGGCTTGAAGTTCAAGTCTAATCATTCAATCAGTCTCAAGTCTCAGTCGCGTGAATCGAGGATTTCCCATACCCTTACTCATTCCATCAGTTTCGGCATTTCCAAGATTTCCCTTGTCTAAGGCATTAAATAGATCTGTCGCTAGTCAGTTCTGCGCTACTGACAAGATTGCAGACGTACACATCACCGCTAGAATAGGGAGCAGGCGAAAGTCAAACTTCCGACAGAGACGACGTTCAGCCTTGGGATCGACGACTCGGGTCCCCTCGTCCATCACACCCGGGACAGATCCATAGCCTTTCAGTGTATAGGAATCTTTCACAAGGCCCAAGGTGTCCGGTTTCTTCGCCGTCCCATCGGGCGACGCGCGCGCTGGACTCGACATGTTCTGTGGAGAGTATTGGAGGCAACGAAACACAGAAAGACCGCGTCGATGGACTTCCTAAAAAGTCTTAAGGCTCTAGATGTAAGCTTCTCTTTTATCGAAAGAGAGGTGACATCCCTTGCTCTGTTAGATAAGAAGAAGGTTGCATCACCCATGCATGAATATCACCCCCCACCCGTTTCTCCGCATCATGATGAGCTTGGCTGAATCGGCAAAGATCGCCTGAGATGGTCGCATCCGGACTCTACTGTTGGCTGTGTATAGGCTCATCTGTGGGGGAAGGTACCTCTTTCCTGCGAGCTTGATTTGAATCTCAAGTCACAGATCGTCCATGCTTGTATTCCAGAAAGAAATCTTGTCCCTTTTTCTCCCTTGAGATCCCATGCGGATCGTGTCTTAGTGGCTTATTCACGTTTTAAAAACACCTGGATCCTTTCCATGCATCACTAGACAATCTCGAATCGGTAAAATCAGGGTTGGATCCCCATTCCGGCATACCAAGTAGGGTTGCATCCGTCGCATGATCTCACCACATTGAAGCCTATAGCGGATTTGAGACAGGAAAGGTCCTCAGAAAGCCGTTTTTAATGGGCTCACAGTTTACCGGAATATTCATATCCATATCTTTGGAGAGAAGCAAATTCTCCCAATGAGACGGCGTACTCCTTCCAGTATTGTCGATCCCATTTTCAAATCAAATTCGAATCATTTTCTTATTGGGCAGCAGCATTTAGCCTTTAGAATCGTGATCTTGAAATGTCCCATCTCTGATAGTGTTAGCCAACCTAAAAGAAGTGCTTTTGTCTTCATGCAGCCCCCTAAGGGCACGTGGGTTTTTATCACGGCTTTGACAAAAATAGCATTGAGCCGAGCCATGACCGCATAGACTACAGACACAAAGTTGTGTTCTACATCTGCTACTCTAGTTCTTCAGGATGGTGCAATTTACCCAATTATCCAAGGTGCCGCCCAAAAGAGTGGCTGCATTTACCCATTCCCCCGCAAGTTGTCTTTGCGGAAAGGACATGCAGCGGGAAAATGGAGACGCCAACTTTCAGACCGAATTCATCCAGATTATCCGGAGACAAATTGTCAGATAAATGACTATAAATTGCAGGGCGAGAATTGGGTTGGAATCCCGGGGGAAAGGTGCCCCTTGTTCCAGGTCGTCAACTACGTGCCACAACAGTGAAGATGCTTCGCCTCAAATCAGTATTTCTCATCGCTCTGTGCGCCCACTTGGTATCGTCCTACCCTTTTCTAGCCCGAGAAACATATGACACCAAAGCAGACTCGCACTGGGTGAACATATGGACTACTATGCCCCAGTTGGTCGAACCTTCTAATCTACCCCCTATTCCATTCGTACGTTGGACGTTCTTGCCACGGGAAAAGAAAAAAAAGACTGCCCCAATACTGATTTTGGGGCACAGAATGGATCCACCGCTGTCTTCAGTAATACTACCATTCGCCAAACCCTCCAGGTTTCGTTAGCTGCGCAGGAGATCCGTATTCGACTGTCTAATGCGTTCGGGACACATGATCTCAAGATCACCAATGTGACTATCAGCCTACCAGTGAGCCAGCGGGTGGGAGTCAGTGGTCTACAGACAGAGACATTGAAAACGGTGCTCTTCAATGGAAGCCCAGATGTGGAGATCCCGAACCGTGGACTGGTTGTGTCAGACCCACTAAAATTCCCTGTTGAGGCCCAATCAGCTCTCATGATCAACATCTATCTCGCAGAGGGACAGACAGGATTCTCCATCACTGGCCATCCTGGAAGTAGAACGACTTCATACCTGGCTTTGGGGGATTGGACTCGAGCAGAGAACCTCACCGACGTATCTGTTCAAAGTACGGAGCATTGGTAAGTGTTCTCCCGCAAGCTGTCTGATTAGCTCGGTTGCTAATCTGCATCTAACCTGTATTTCAGGTATTTTATCAGTGGGGTAGAGGCTTTGCTCCCTTCTGGGTCTAGTGGCTTCGTTCTCATTGGCGATAGCATCACAGATGGGCGAGGAAGCACTACAAATGGTAATGATCGGTAAGTGGACCGTCCCGTCTACTATGTCTAGATCTAGGGTGAACCAATTTAGCTGGCCAGATCTGTTGCTGGCAAGAATGCAAAAGCATCCCTCCACATCAACTCTCGCCATTCTCAACCAGGCTGCTGGCGGAAATCGTATTCTACAAGATGGCCTAGGTCCGAATGTGATCAGCCGTCTTGATCGAGACGTCTTGGCACAGTCTGGAGTGAAATATGCGATGATCTTCGAAGGCGTCAACGATATTGGTGGTGCTGATAGCGATGCAGCCACGCAGGCGGAGATTGAGAAGAAACTGGTTGCGGCATATAAACAAATCACGGCAAGGGTGCATGCCTTGGGCATCCCGGTATTTGGAGCCACTCTCACGCCATTTGGCTCGTCGACGAGCTCTGACTATGTGCAACCTTACTCAAGTGCCGAGCGGGAGAGGACCCGTCAACGAATTAATGAATTTATCCGGGGAAGTGCCGTGTTTGATGCAGTTTTGGATTTTGACCGCATATTGAGTGATCCGCAGGCGCCATCTCAGTTGCTGGAAAAATATGACTCAGGAGACCACCTGCATCCCAGTGTGGCGGGATATCAAGAGTTGGCGGATTCTTTCCCTCTTGGGGTATTTGAGTGATATTAACATGATCATTCTCAAGGGCTAACGAGAGGAAATTGTTTCCAAGATTGTTATAGATGCAAATATAATTACATACGTTTTCAAATCGTAAACATGTCAAACCCTCGAAGCTTCTGGCCCGAAAGACAGACAATCTTTTTAAACACGAAGCTTGAAGTTGTTGTGAAGGCTGCGCTTTCTGTAAGTGCCACCGGCGACATTAGCCTGCTTGGGGCCAGGACCGAAGTCCGGAACACCGCCCAGAGAACCGAAGATATCACCGACGTAGTTGTTGGCCTTGATACCAGCAGCAAAGGTGGTGTTCCACCCGTCCAGGATACCCTCGACGACCTTGATACCAGCGACATAGATGTTCTCAATCGCGGGTAAAAATCCGCCCTGCTTCGAAGACTGGAAGAGGTTGTAGGTCGCCGAAACACCGGGGTAGGGACGATCAAAGTCAGACGCAGTGCGCATCACGATAATGCGGGAGAAATCCGTCAACTTGCGCATCGAGGACCGGAGCAAGACCTCAAGGGTGGCGTTGTCCTCCTGTGCGGTTGAGCAGTAGTCGCCAGTTCCATTGGTCAACACCTTGGTGGTGTTTTCAAACACCGAGCCGAGGATGTTGCCGCTGAAGTACACGTCGGAGGTCGCGACATCGCATTCAACAACACTAGGGGGCAAGGTGGCAGCCTTGTACTTCCCACTGGGGGTCTTGAAGTTGGCGCGGTAGGCCTGAGCTGTGGCAGAGTCGACGAGGGTGGCCTGGCGCGCGAAATTGGCAGCAATTGTGCGCAGCTCGGCGTTCACTTCAAAGACCTCTGTGCCGTAGATGTTGGTCGGGTACTGGCCTGGGAATTTAGTGCCTTGCGCGATGTACCCGGTGGAAAAGTTGCTGGGAAGCTCTCGGATATCAATTTCGTACTGCAGTGCGACCTGGACTGCGTACCGAGCAAAGGTAGCGGATCCAGTGGTGGCTCTCTTGGGGCTGATGCCGGCAATACCCGCGATGAAGAAGTAGGTTTGCGTGAGATTGAATACAGGGGAGAAAGCAACGGCGGTGACAGTGGTAGCAGCATTGATCTCGCCTTCTCCGGTGACGAGCTGGCAAACATCATAGTTCTCGGTGCAGTAGACATCCGGGAACAGAGGCGAGAGACCAGGGATGGTGATATTGTGGGCGAACAAATCGAATTCGGGGTTGTTCCACCAAGCGGCAGCTTCAGGTGCAAACTGCCTTGCTTGATTAGCGACATCACATTTCTTGCAGTGGACGTGCATACCATTGACACAATGAAGACCTTGGGAGCAATTGCTCCATTGTGAGCCTTCTGGGCCTTCAGAGCGGTCCTAGTAGCTTCGGCGCATAATGAGCTGCCACTGAGCAGCAACGAGGCTGTCAAAGTCTGAAGGAAACGCATTGTGAGAAATTTTGCAGTTGCAGTTGGAGTTCTATTCCGGCATGCGCCGAGGCCTTTTATTTGTAAAGTCGTGAAGAAATTTGTAACCCTTGCGTTTTTCGCCGATCAATGCATGTCTCGGTACCTGATTGGGGCATGATCAACATCAGCACGTGGAGCAAGCTGGAGCAACTCGGCCAGAAATCCCCGGAGATTCTCCTATCGGCCTTCTTGGTGAAATTTTACTCATGCGAGACATCTGGAAAACATGAAAGATTGATGACTAGATTTTAATTGGTCCTTTTCACTCGAATGCGGGTCGCAATTTATCATGACGACTGTTGCTTTTAAGCATTTGCCGGGGTCCACCACAGGATTCTGCATGGTAAAACATGGGAAGAAATTCAGCGAAAGGGCAGCTCGATGGGTTCTCAGGCCCTGAGCTTCTTGCCATTGGAAATGACTGAGAGACATTTAGTGCTCGCAGTGTACTAGCTGAGCTCATCACTGCCTATTCACCTTCTGCTCGAAAGATCTTGTTCATCGGACTCGGCATATACGCCATGCCGTATCCGGCATCCACCTGGTCGAAGGCTTATGTTGTACTCCGTGATAGACGATAAGAGGAAATTAATAGAGTGCAAGATGGGCTTACCTTTCCGAAAACGTTCTGGAAAACTAGTGGGAGAGTTGGGATACCTGCCATTCTGAGTCTAGGCATGTGTAGTGGGACTAAGTTGTGGATCCTGACTACGCCTGGTATCCCGACTGGCTCTGGAGAGCTCACTGGCTCCTGGCTCCAAAGATTTGGCCCCTGAATTTTCTCTGATCGGCAAGAAACACCGAATCCTGACCAGAAGAGAACGTAAGCAGTGCTTGACAGCCTTCGGTTGATCCCCCACATCCTTCCAGCTGCAGGGAATACGACAAATCCTTCATCCAAGGAGTAGCATGACATCTCTGGAGGCCATATACTCAAAGGATGCACCTTTTTTCGAATCTGAAAGTGAAATTACGCGTTCGTGCAGGTTGGCCTGACAACACTTGACTCTCCGCGGCCTGAAGATTATCGTCCAAAGCTCCGCGGGTCTCCACAAATCCATAGATCACATGGCTGAATTAGAATTTTTGTATTTGTGGTCGATACACCGCCTTTTGTCATGTGGAGTTATAATTGGTTTGATTCTCCCGCACCGCATACGGTAGTTCTGCTCTAGCTGCATGTCACTACATCGGCGATGTTGTATGGAGCACGGAGCACCAGATCAGGTAGAGCGGAACTAAGTGCGAAGCCGCGGATTCCGCAGGGCATAGCCAAAATTGGGCGTATCCATTTTTTGACTCTTTTAGATATTATATCTCGTAATTTCAACTAACATATGCTCCGTAGTATTTTGATTATCCCTATTAAACCTAATGTTTAATACGATAGGCCTACGATTTCCCTGGCTTGAGCAGCAGTGTACCCTAAGTACTTAAAAACAAGGTGGCTATAGCCGCCAATCACCTAGGAGTTGTTGTAATAATCAATTCATATTGAACTACCCCGCGCATCATCGTCAAGAGATGAGAGGATGCTCTAGGTTGGCCGAACATCTGTTTTCGTGTGTGTGTATATATTCGCGTCTGCTGCAACACGTCACACGTTCTAGCTGACACACTATGTTGTACATGACACTCATATCCTGCTACAGGGCTATCCACGGTAGAGTGTCCATGACCACACCATTTGCATGAAGCAACACTCCACGCCCTCCGAGGCAGACTAGACTCCGAAATGGCTACCGGGCATCCCGACCACAAGATCGGTTCTAGGCTTCTGCAAATTCTTCACCTCACATTGCTCAGAACTGGAATTGCCGCGAAGAAGAAGCAAGCCATCACAAACGGTCTATGCAGATAATGACGTCAATTACAGGCACTCAACTTTGACTGGCAGCATTATGACAAGCCTGTGCAAATGGTTTGGGCTGTTGATATTGTACATTAAGGGATTCTTTATCATTCAATTGGCGGTTTGGCCGAGTGGTCTAAGGCGATTGACTAGAAATCAATTCCGTTCGCGGGCGCATGTTCGAATCATGCAGCCGTCGTTGTTTTTTTTTCTTTTTCATGAATCATGCTACAACTGAATGCCACAGGCATTCTCGGGATTTCCCGCAAAGAAGAAAAATGCTAGTCAAATGCTTTTCCAACGCAGGCTTTCTTCTATCGCGACGTGAACAGCGACAAAAGAGGGTGTTTGCCAGAGGACATCGGGCTGTGTTTGGCGTTTATTGCTTACATTTCGATTCAGCTATGAATCATTTGGCATCGAAGAAGGGCCCATGCACAAAACTAGAGACACTTCTGAATCACTCACGGTACAACCACATACCCCGCTCGCCTCTCATGCAAGTATTGGTACAGCATTGATAGAGAACAGCAATTTTCTTGTTTCGGCCGTTAGCTGCATGCACGTCATGGCATTGCTATAGATCAATGTCACAGTAACAGAGGAACGTGACAAGGTATCCATCATCCGTTGAATATCCCTACTGGGGTTATCCAGAATGGCCGAACCAGTGCCTTTGATGAATCTACCCTCCAAATGCGGCATATCATAGATTTTTGGGGTTTTCTTCCTTTTTCCCGCCTCCCCGACTACGGCTACATCTGGTAGGACAAGTTTTCATGATGGAAAACACCGAGTCGGTCCATCATGTGCATCACTATGCATGACTCTGGGGGCAGTTCCACAGTCTGATGTTCTCCGACCGATCTATGTGTCCGGTGAATATTGTAAATAATTGACGTAGGGTCGATTGGGACCGAATGTTGAGAGAGAATTCGATGGCTTCCCGGCAGTATCTCGGACGTGCCGTGTATACCAGCATTAAATTTGTAGTCTGTATTTGAATGCACTTGCTAGTACCCCAGAACCTTTCTCCTCGTTTGTAGACTTCCTTCGTGAAAGCGAGGTGGTCAGCCTCCGACAAGGGCATTTTGTTAATTCCACTCCCCCTCATCAATCCCAAGCCCAGTCGAGGAACAAAAGGGTCCATTTGCAACCTAGATAGTGTAGGGCCATTTTTACCCAAGGGTGCCATTTCGTTGGTTTCAATATGGGCAAACGATCATAGTGTGCGTTGACGAAAAAGGAAAACATCTCTGCTCTGAGATTCTCATAGTAAAACAGTGCGAAACCGACTCTTCAATAGCCAAATTATGTCTTCCGCGGTCAACTCCGTCTGTTGGTACCCGGCCCCCGAAATCTGGCCGCTTATCTCCGCCGCCATCTCCGCCGCTAATAACAAATAAATTGTAGGAGTACCGATTATCACTTTATCTGATGGCGCTACAATATTTCCAGAGGAAAAATACCTCACATCGGTTGGAAATCCTCATGACCGGCATCTACTCATATCCGCCCATCCGAATTACATGCAAAGCAAAAGCATGGGATAATATATCTAGGTGTCAACATTAAGAAACTTGACAAGATGAGCACTGAGATGCTTATTAACATTAGGCTCGAAGGAAAGCTGTCAACGAACGACCCGATATAATGTCAACAGCCCTGTGCAACCCCCTGCGACCCTGTAGGGCTATTTGTTATATTGAGAAAAGATAGTCTGTAGTGGTCTAACTAAGTGGTGTTGCTAGTTGGACTCTGCGCATCACCGAGTAGTTAGTGGGCATCTAAGCATTTATATGCCATCGGTCATCATCGACGTGGCTATGCGGGTAGTTTAAGCGCCCTCGTCAAAGCAGCTCAAATAGGAAAGCACAGACTATCAGGTACCTATCCAAGTGTAACGTGTCCGTGTGCCAATGTCCGTATCCAAGTATCGCACCAAGAATCACTCCATTAATATAACAGCAATACTGTTGATGACAAAGCACCAATCCAGTAAAAGCCAAACTGCACTTTCATGGATGAACAGTGGATCGGGCCCAGTGATACCAGCGCCTCCAAGCCACTGACTGCCAGACATTGAAACCTGGAGCATGATGCATATCAAGCATATCTACTCTGCACGGTACTCGGGGATGTTAGATATCGAAATAGCACAGGACATGATGATCCCCGGAGATTCAATTGGTTGGTGCTCCAACGTCATCTGACGTCATTTTTTAAGATAGGTGCCGATGGAAAACAATAAAAATCAAGGCCAGGGACGCTCAAAGTCATTGTTGATTACATTTTGGCTTCGAGTTTCATCTTTGCGAGAACCCCATTCCGTTCGCATTTGCATCGCAATACAGTCCCAGCAGCGTATTTCTCCGATACCCGCAAGTCCTGCATAACCCAGAACCACATACCCACCATGCCTTCCATGCACGAACGTATCCGTGAGGACCTCCTCAACAAAGAACGTGCACTCTGGACAGCTCTCACATCTGCCGATCCAGCACCAGCCATCTGGAAACTCAGTAATCCGGAAGCCTGTTTCCTATTCCCTCAAATGCGCATCATCACACTCGAGGACGAGGACGTTTTCAAGAAGGCCGTCCGACCACCCTTTCACCGATTTGACGCCTACCAGTTCGAGGAGGTACGAGTTATTATTGTCGATCTGATGGCAGGTGTCGTCACATACAAGGTCCGCGCTGTGCGCGGAAAGAAAGAATACACTGCCTCGGGCTCGACGACTTGGAGTCAAGGATCGGATGGAGAGTGGACGCTGGCTTGTCATCAAGAAACTCTGATGTGACGGGATCATGGTTATGTTCGGTTTTAGGGGGGGGGGGGGGGGGATACACCCCGTTTCTTTTATCCCTTTTTGCGATGCGGACTGTGGGAAGGGAAGTGATCGAAGCGAGGCAGTTGTGTTTTTTCAGTGATCTGATGCAATGTATCATGAGTCAACCAATCTTTCAATGCCACGAAGCTTGATCGAATTCATCTGAATCCTTGAAATCCCAAGAATGAATGGGTTTCCTGGTAGATGAGTGGCTTCTAAAGGTTTGTAGTGGTGTACCGGCGATGATCAGCCTCTACACCGTAGTTCGCGTGTTGTAGTCATCGACTGCGATTTACATTCGAAATAGTCCATGTCTACACCGCATTTTTGTACCATCTAGTTCTTTGATTGGAAGCAACGGTCAATGCATTATGATTCATTGATTTTCTCTGCTTTTTGTGGCTGATCTTGGCTGATCTTGGCTGAGATCTATTTCAATGTTTCAGCCGTGGCGCAGTTTTCCGAAAGCGCCAGTCTACTTCTTCTGCCGGCAGATTTTGACATGCCAGTGATATAGCCCATCAACCACCCCAGTTCAGCTTATCATGAGTCGGAAAATGTCAGACAGTTGTCATCTGTATTGTGACATCTAGAATCATCTGAAATCCTGCCACAGGGGTAATGTATGGATTTCAATAGAGACGTGATTAAGCGGATCTAGGTAGGTGGTCTGTGTAAAAGCCAAGAACAGCCCCCTTTTTTCCTGGTCCAATCATAAAGCTCATGCAACGACCAGCGGACACAATGAGAGCCTCATCAAACCACTAAAAATCTTGGGGGTTTCAATGGCGACCATTTACTTATTACATTGTCACGACAGTGGCAGTGGCCTTGCTCACAGGTAGGTTCGCGAATAGAGCATGATTAAGGCACAGATTGACTTAGCTCATGGATATGTCTCTAGATGAGTTTCTCGTCCCACTTCTTCCATTCGTGCTGGAGCACCGACTGGAACTTGACGCCTCGCTCACCTAGCGCATAAGCACAGCGCTGCTATCCCAGACCGCGCTAGTGATGGGCATGACAAGTGCTTTGATGGGGCCTCATGCTGATCGCCCGTGCGCGAAATATGCTTGGCTGTTATGTGGACTTGTGGGCGCCTTGCTAGGCTCTTTGATGCTCGCCATGGCGACTCCATGCAAGTGGTGATTAACAATCGATGACCTTTCCAGCGAGACGATCAATGTCAGTGCAGTGTTCACTCTCTTCTACTGGGCGTCTTGTACAGTCTCTTGCCAGCACTGCTCTCTAGGTGGTAGGCTTTGCTACCCTGGCGGAGAATGTTCCTGCTGACGAGCTGGACAAAATGGTTGAATGGATGGGGTTGTGACCGTTGCCGTGGGCGTAGGAACATCGGGCGGACCTCTTGTGGCTGATGTTCTACTCGATGTAGGTGGGTACTGGGTGGCTTGGTCGAGTGTACTTTTCGTCAATGCGGTTAATGTCATCCTGTGTCTGATGCTAGAGCGGTCGCGTGACACCAGTGGACCTGTTCACGCGGATCGGGCCGGGCAGGATCTAGAGAGGCCGGCACTTTTGTCACCATTGCATGACCCGGAACAGGTAAGCAGTCTAGCCGTATCCGAGACAACAGGTATGCAATTCTATCTCTGCGTGTGTGGCCACGGTCATGTCGTTGGTGTTGTGGTTAGTTCTTTCTGCTACGCCGTCCTCACCGCCAGCTTTGAGATCACACTTTCCCTCCAGGTATGTGATGCCTTTCATTCAAGAAGACTCCCCCGCTGGGTTGTTAATTGCCGCTTTCCAGGGCCCCGCGGTGTCCTTTAGCGTCGCTGTCGGCTGACTGAAGGATCAGGTGGAGACTCGATACCCGACCACGATCGGAATTTGCTCTTCTGGTACCTTGAATATGGTTGATCGATATTCTTGGGGACGAGCAATTTCCCGGGGCCTGTAAGGTGATGACGGGGGCTCGGTCAGATGCAGTGTAGCCGTCACTAGATTCGGGTTTGTGACATGCTTGCTCCACGGGAGGGGGAAAGAATGGAAGCCACTCGTAAGTTGTTTAACGACTGTCATATTAGGAAGTGTGGATCACGTCGATGTTTCCAAAGCCGTTGACGAGATCGAAGGAAAGAACCCCGGAATCTTCGGTCCCAATGGCGGATATTCCGACCGTCTCTAGTCTCAGTAGGCAAAGATTAGACTACTGCGTTCGGGATATGGGACGGAACAAATCGGACCTGAAATGAATTGTGTCTTGGGGTCGTCTCCCCCTGTCTGATTTCTTCATGTTTCAACGCTAACGAGGCGGGGATGTGCGGACTTCGCTCCTTTACCGCCTTCTGGAATTTCTGTGCCGCAGCGCGTCCAAAGGATCAGACACTTGGTGGAGTTTTGAGATGAGAGCCACAGAATAACCCGCGTTCCATATTGCTCAGTTTTCACTACTGTTTGGGGTTGGAAGGTTCATCTCGCTTAACCAACATCGCCCCCTCAAAACCCTCACACCAAACCAAGAAACGGCAGAAAAGCAATACCTTTTTCACTAAGCGCAGCAAAAGGACCAAAAAGGGGGGCTTATACCGTTAGAATGTGCATAGAAGATAAGATGGGGCCACTCAATTCTTGCCGAGGCACTCCGTAGAAGATACTCCGTAGATTGAACACGAACCCCAGACTTGGAACAGACGAAAAGTTGGGCAGTGCAAGTGGACCCTATCAATTCCAAGACCTGGAGCTTATCAAGTCCCAGGATGTAAGGAGAGTGGTTGGAAGAAAAAAACAACCAGAAAAAAAAGGTAAGACAAAGAACGCCGCTGTCATTTTTAATCGGGGACGGGTTTCATCCGCTTTAGTTCCCCTAGTCTCCTTCCACAAATGACAGTGAGGTCATCTGTTTTTCATCTTTCATCTGTTTTTCATCTATTTTCATCTATTTTCTTTGTATAAACTTCCCACGGACCTTCTCAGGTTCCCCCCCAGACTCCGCATCACTCGCCAATGACTGCCTAGAGACCCCCTATTCCCCGTTTTGAATGAGATCCCTCAATGTGAGCTATACACTCAAATTTGTCACAACCATGGTTATGTCCTTTAAGACTCCACCTCGGATTCCACGGATATGCACAGGCCGAATGATTTCCTTCCCCGGCCGAACCCTAGAGGCTTCTAGCCCGTTCATTGGGGGTGGTTGGAATCTAGTTATTAATTCAGATCGTCGCTTGAAAAAAAAAAAAAAAAAGTAATCTGCAATTATAAGCTCATGCCAGAGATTCTTTCCACCTCTCTTGGAAATCCGCTCTCAAACCACACGCAATGGAGCCAATTCGCCCTCCCCAGGATATCGCCATCATCGGTGCTGGTATCGCTGGCATCGCGTGTGCATTGTCCATCTCCCGCGAACTCTCTCCCTTTGTCCCGAACCTGAAAATTACCGTTTATGAGCGACATGATGTATTATCAACCTCAGGTGGTGCTATCAATTTGACGCCCGTCGCCCAGCGGCATCTTGCCCAGCTGGGTGTGCTCGAAGAATTGGACCGAATGGGTTCCGAGGGTGGTGCCGATGTCGACGCCATTGAACTCTTCTCCATGCGGTCGGGCCGTTCGATCGGTTCCATCAACTTCACAGACAACCAGGGAAAAGGATTTGGCGGATACAAAGGCCGAAGAGTCATGCGGATTGCGCTGTCTGTAGCCATGTTGACCGTGGCGGAGCGGACTCAAAATGTAGAGATTGTTTTCGGCAAAAAAGTGATCCGTGGTGAGGAACTCGAGGATCGAGCCGTCGTGCATTTCCAGGACGGCACAGCGGCAGGCGCAGACTTGATCATTGGCTGCGATGGCGTCAACTCCGCGGTCCGGACCCGGTTTGTGGATGTCGATCGCCCTGCTGAGTACACGGGGCTGTCGTTTTTACAGGCCACGATTGACTCGAATTCACTTTCATCGCGTCCTCACTTCCGCACATCCTCGCTCAATATTTCCCGTCATGGCTCAATGCTGGCTAGCTACTGTGACCGTGAGGGCGAACAGATCTTTGCTGCTGCTATCGTCCAATTCAGTCAGGAAGCGCTCAGCCGCTATCGACTGGAGCCCGGTCAAGATTGGGCCACCAAGAACAAGATCCGCTGCGCCCTTCGCGAGGAGATAAGAGACCGTTTTGGCAAATGTGTCATTCCCTGTATCAAAGAAATGGTTGAGAGTAAAGCAGAGTGGATGCTTTATCCTGTCTTTCAAGTTCCCCCTGGAGGGCGTTGGTGCATGAACCGAGTTATTCTACTGGGCGATGCAGCACATGCGGTATGTCTCATGCAAGCCCCCCCCCAAGTCCCTCTGTTTATTTCTAACACGTTCGACAGATGCCCCCACGAGATGAATCAGCTGCATACGCACTAGATGACGCAATCTTATTCTCTCGAATTCTGGCAAGCTATCGTTCGGAGCCCTTGACGGAGGTTTTTGATGCCTATGAGACTCTTCGTCGTGAAACGATCAACCATGCCTTCAAAGAGTCCCGTCGTATGTGGGAACGGAACCGCGAGATGGGATTCTTCGAGGGCAGGATAAAAGAGTGGATGATGGCTTTCCATCTCAAAAGCAACGAAAACGCACGTGAGGCCGCGTGGGCCTTTGACGCAACTAAGATGGCCCTCCCCACACCGGCACCCAGTGAAGACTTGGTTTCATTGGATTCATTTTTGAGAGAGAAGACCCTATGAAGAGGACATGGCATTTTTAAAAAAGCAGTGGCGGAGTTTGGGTTGGCCTGCATGGACTGGAGCGTGAATCTTTTTAATTAATCGATACCCGGTAATCAGCTCCCAGAATATATCTAATCGATACGTTCGTGGAAGATTCCCCAAAAATATGACTCCATTTATTTGGACTTGATGCTCAACCTTACGTTTGGTTAATCGGGGTGGCCGAAGTCACACTTTACCTATTTAGGTAGGTACCTATGTGCCGTTCACTCAGCTTTGGAACGAAATAGACATTAGGTCGATCTCAATGCCAAACTGGTTTAGATTTCTTTTGATCTTGATATTTATTTCCCGCTTTAGTTCACTAGTAGAAATATTAAACCAATGCTGGACGGATGGGGTGATAATTTATGGGTCCTCCATCCCATTCGTCATATTTCCATCTTTTCTCACCCTCATGTGAATTTGATTGGCGCTGCATTGCTCTAGTGGATCTTGAATCCCGCAAGGTTGCGTACTGAAATATACGGGGCAGTGTTGCAAGCAAAAAGTAATGGTAGTAATTTCCTAGAAACTAAACAGAAACGATTTCAAACCCAAGAGACAAAGCTTCCGCTTGTCCAAAGAGTGATTCACTTTTGGTTCCAAGATTTCTCCTAGCAGCTTCGATTAGAAAACAAGTGTCTGACCAGCAGTGCCAACCACTGCTGCCTTGACCTTGGCTGAGCCAAGCAGGTTGTAGCCGTAGGGAACCGACTTCAGGGTTCCAGCCGCAGCAACGTTCTTTCCGCTACCAAAGTCGTTGTCATTGGCCACAGCATAGCCAGAGTTAGTAGAGTAGAGGGGCTTCTTGCTGCCGACAAAGGTGTTGGACTCCACCAGAAGCTGGGCGCCTTGGCGGGTGTTGATGCCGTCGGAGACGTTCTCGTAGTAACTGTTGTAGACATGGCCAGTGCCGAAACGGAAGGAAGGACCACGCGAGTGGATGTTGTACCAGTAGTTGTTGTTCTGGGTGACATGCAAGTGACCGGTATCCTCCTTGCTATTGCTGTCGGAGTGTCCGATCAGGGAGGCTTTCCAGTGGTCGTGAATGAAGGTGTTGGAAACAGTGACGAAGTCGGAAGCGTGGGTAATCTTGTTCCCATTAGCATATGTGCTTACTTCCGATTCCCCATCTTGTGATTTGAACTTACATCGATGAGTCCATCGTAGTAGTCCTTGTCGTGTTCGATGTCGGATGAGACGTCACAGTGGTCAATCCACACATTGGTTGATTTTTCTAAGCCCCGTCAGCTTTTGTCCTGTTTCCTCAATGGTTATCCTTTTAGCACGATGTACTCACGAACACCAATGGCATCACCGTTCTCGGCAAGCACCTTCTGTACACCGAGATTCCGGATAATGACGTTGGTCTCTCCCTTGACCAGACTACATGGGATTAGTTTCGCCTCAAATCGATGGTAGGAATGGGAAACGTACAGGCCGAAGCCGCTCAAAATGGCCTTGGAGTCCTTGCCGATGATGCTAGTGTTACTTCCAACACGAACTTGCTTGGCTGCCTCCGTGATGGTGCCATCCACAATGATAACCTTGGCATCATTGCCCGTGACTGCAGCCGTGAAAGCAGCATACGACGAGACTGTGGTGGTAGTGCCACCAGCACCCCCCTTGGTGCCTCCATTCTGGCTGGCATAACCAGTAGCGACCTAATTCAGTGCAAGCTTAGCCTATTGGTCTGAAGATTGTTGAACGAATTGCGTATGGAGACTCACATCATCGATGTTTCCGCGCTTTCCCAGATAGCTAGTTGCAGTAGGGGCTCCCAGTGCAAGGCTGGACAAGCAGCCAAGCAGAGAAACGGCCATGATTTTAAAAGGAGCCATTTCGGATTTGGAAAGAAATAGAAATTTAAAGGAGTGAAAGAGCAAAGTGAATCGCCAGGATGCTTTTTTGCCCGAGTGAGTGAATGAGTGAGTGAGTGAATGAGTGAGTGAGTGTTGATATCAAGACATCAAGACTATATCATGGTCGACGAAGGGGGTTTATATACCACTCAAGAGCTCTCTTATACTACAGGTGCTCCTGAAACAAATCACATCCACTATTACCATGATTGTTCGAGAATTCGCATGCTGGATAATATCATCTGGTCTAGCTGAACCGAAGATTCACCGAGATGGACGTGATGGCACCAGCTCTCCGACGCGTCAAGTATCAGATTGACGCTCCAGGGGTTCCCTTGGGACAGCCAAGATCTCATCACGGTTCCTCTGAGACACTAAGCTTGGCGTACCTTCATCGAAGCCCTCAGTCTAGAACGACATGGAAAGCTTCCGGGCCAAGAACACAACACCCGTGCACACCCTACTGGACGGGGGGCCCTTTGGATGGAGAAACACTGGCCAAGGGTGAGCTGTTAGTTAATTTATTATATGAATCTCTTGGCCGGAAGAACTTCCACAACTGATTCCAATCACCCGAAGTGACTTCATGCCAAGAGTTCCGAGGTTTCAACACGAACTCCCGATCTTGGCATTCAGATTTGTCGGAGATGCTATGATTCTCTCAATCTGATTTTATGAAGCGGAATCCTTTCCCTGATGTGACTTGAGAGTCAGAGTTGGACATAGAAATTGACTCTGGATGTTCTTTTTCGAGCCTGGATGTTCATGATGGGTTCAATACTACGGGGTAAATGGCGTGATTGCATTAGTTAATGAAGTCTTTGATATTCCAATCTTCACACGTTCAGACCGTCACATATTTGACTTCTCCACTTTGAGATCGAAAATTCTTCAGAAGATTTCCCAAATTCTTCCCTCGTGTTTCGTGGCTGAGTAATCTACCTAGGTACTGGGTTTGCGGGGAAAGCTAGTCGCGACAAAGGAAACACTTCACTTCCTTGCAACCGGAGGAATGACAGACACATTTTCATCCGTGCCGATCGTCGACTTCGCTCGGCTGAACGACCCTGTGACGAAAAATGAGGAGCTTTCAAATCTGCGTGAAGCCATCTTTGTCGTTGGCTTCCTATATTTGACCAACACGGGATTGGAGGTGCGAATCACTCAAATACACTCTGGGTAACCAATATACTAACACAAAACTGAGACAGAGCCTAATCCATCATACCCATAAATATCTACCCAAACTATTTGCCCTGTCGACAGCGGCCAAGGAGAAATGTAATATGATTAACTCGCCATCGTTTCTTGGCTATACTCGGCTCGGTGCCGAGACCACTGCGGCAAAAACAGATCTCCGCGAGGTGAGACAATTGCCCTGTGAGATTTTCTGCTATTCTCGAGCACTTACTTTCGATACCTTAGCAATTTGACTTTGGCACCCCTGGCGTGAAACCCTGGACAGAACAGGACCCGTTTTGGCAACGGCTTGAAGGGCCTAATCAGGTAAAGGTACCCCCTTTCGACGTGTGTCTCGACTACTGACTCCCGAAAGTATCCAGATTACCCTGCGGCTCAAGACCTGGTCGACGCATATATCGCGAAGACTGATAGCCTGGCGCAAGCATTCGTACGCCTCGTCGCAGAATGCTTGTCCCTCCCACGGAAGACATTCGATGGGTTCAGGGGCAATATGAGCCGACTCAAGTTTGTCAAATACCCACCCGCCCGGCAAAACTCCCAAGGTGTTGGCCCTCACAAGGACTCAGCCGGTCTTTTTACCTTCCTGTCCCAGGATAATACAGGAGGACTACAGGTACTCAATAAGAATGGAGAATGGATCGATGTACCTCCCCTTGAGGGGAGTCTAGTTGTGAATATCCAACAGGGATTCGAAGCAATTACTGGAGGCATTTGCGCGGCTACGACACATCGAGTTATCGTATGCTTACCATCCCTTTCATCACTGAGCGACCGCTCTAACCCCTCGTTACTCCTAGGCGCCCACTTCTCAAACGCGTTATAGCATCCCGTTCTTCCAGGGTGTGAGACTAGACTTGACGTTAGATCAGCTGAAGGAATCCGCTGCCCACATCGTGGAGCGAATTCCAGTCTCTGACGACCAGAAGAAGCGGGCGGTTGATGTGCCGAGTGAATTTCTTTCTCCCCTATATTCTTGCGTGAGTGGTTCTAGATTAATGATTTTCTGCAGAGGACTGACGAATCGCAGTTCGGCGAGGCTCACTTGAGAAATCGTATCCTAAGCCATCCGGATGTGGGCCAGCGGTGGTATTCGGAGCTATATGCCAAGTATTCTCAGCAGGTCCTCAAATAATCCCGTAAGGCAAAGCTGAAGGATTCCAGTTGGACGTGATTACCGTGGAATCGGCTACCGACTTGGTATTCCAGCTTGCCAAGAATCTGGAATAATAACGGACGCAAGATCATCAATACTGATGCAGTTTGACATCGCGTCTGTTGGCCTTTCCATGATTGTCCACACCAGGCTAGGCATTGTCTTAAGATAACGCAAGATGTCCAGATGTGCGACTTGTGCTCGAGATCGATGAGGTCTAATTTACCTTGGTCTTTGGTTTGGTACTAGAACGTAAGAACTGCCATTGTACGGAGTAGCATGGTTCTTCTTCTGGCTAATTCCATCACCAATTCATCAATGCAGGGGTCTCGAGGATGTGACATGTCTTCATCTAGGCTTGGCTCCGTAGAGAGCTTTACAATCTGTTCCTGATACCCAGCATCTTTGCAACAATGGAGTATCTGATCATATTTAGTGCAGTTCGATGAAGACTACAGTCTGGATGGGATTAACCCCCCCCCTCCACAGTGGATCTGCCAGCGTCAACAGTGCTAACCCGTATTTTTAAGCATCGAACAATGCCATCACCCACACTCTGATCTTACCCCTAATTGGACTATAAAAAAAAAGAAACCGGATGTTAGGTGGAATTGTCCCCTGGGAAAAGCAGTAGGGCGATATTTCGAGCAAAGGAGTACGATTGAAGATTTCTGGTGTTATAAAAACACACTCAGCTGTGCAGAAATGGGTCGAATCGACAAAGCCACGACTGAATAGGAAATCCGATGATCATCTTAACCCCGCTTTCCAAGTGGACTATTGTCGTCCGTACAATTTTCAACAGGCCGGCAAAGAACCACGGCAAAGCAACCGAGACATCGTGTAGAACAACACCTCTCACATAAAGTCCTGCGTGGAACGACAAAATCCCATAATCCAGACCATTTCCAAGGCAGCGTTCGCATTCTGACCGAGTTCAGCTTTCTCCCTTTTCTGTCAGACAAGTGCAACTACAAGGATCACCCTGAGGGAAATACAGCATACGGAAAATACCCACACTCCTGCGGGGTAAATTGTTGTGACCACCATCTCTTCCACTTTCAACCATGCCCGAAATCAAAGCGACGGCTCTCGAGGCTCTACGGAGTAACCTCAAGGCCGCAACAATCTACACACCTGAATCAGAGGGTTACAAAGATGTCCTAGTCCGCTGGTCCGACACTGGAATGAAATATGCGGTAAGGAACCATGAACCGTTCAAACCAGAGAACCGACTGATAAGTTTCAGGGTGTCGTAGTCCAACCCACTGAAGCGTTGGACATCTCGGCCACGCTGTTGTGGGCACAGCAGCATAGTGTTGATCTTGCTGTGAAATGTGGAGGTCATTCAGTCGCTGGCACAAGCTCAAGTGAGGGAGGTCTGGTGATTGACCTGTCGCGCATGAACCAAGTGACGGTGGATACCGAGCAGAAGACTATCACCGCCCAAGGTGGAGCGACCTGGAAGGAAGTCGACGAAACCGGTGCAGCCCACGATTTGGCGGCCGTGGGGGGGACCGTGAACCACACCGGCGTCGGAGGACTCACGCTAGGGGGTGGTTATGGCTGGCTGAGCGGAGAGTATGGCCTTGCTATTGACAATCTCCTATCGGCGACCGTCGTTTTAGCCGATGGTCGTATTGTCACGGCCTCTGCCACCGAGAATGTCGACCTGTTTTGGGGATTGCGAGGTGCAGGATACAACTTTGGCGTTGTGGCAGACTTCACCTACCAAGCCCATGACCAGAAAGACCCAGTGTATTCTGGCCTCCTTGGATTCGCTCCTGATAAGCTGGAAGGAATTATCGAGGCTTTGAATGAATCCCTCGCCAATCCTGACTCTCGCTTTGGTGCGATTTGCAGTTTAACGATGGCGCCAGATGGATCGGGGCCGATGGTCATTGTGATTGGCTTTTTCAATGGTCCCCGCGAGGAAGGCCAAAAGAAATTCGCTCGCTTCACAGCCCTTGAGCCGGTTTTGAACACCCTTGATATGATCCCATACTCTATGGTAAACGCTCTACAGAACCCCGTTGTGACATACGGTGATCGAAAGTCTTTTAAAGGTATTTTCTACGAGCCGCCACTCGATCCTCAATTTGCGAGGGTGATCTTCAATGACTTCATAGCCAAGATTGAGAGTGAACCAGATCTCAAGGCGTCTGCCATCATCCTCGAGTTTTTTGATATGCGCAAGATTTGCCAAGTGCCGCTGACCGCAACCGCGATGGCAAGCCGAAATTCGACTCAGAATGGCATCGTTTTTCTAAGATGGACCGACTCATCCAAAGATCTGGAGCATCGCGCTTGGGCACGAGAAGCCCAGTCCAAGTGGAAAGTGGAATTGGATGCCAGAACCAAAGACCGGGGTGTGGATTTGGACGTTCCTCAGTACATCAACTACGCAGAACGTGAGTTCGACTGGCCCCCGGATAGTTGTACCTTGATAGAAACTAACATCATACGCAGCGGGTGACTCGGTGGTAAGCAATATCTACGGCGTGAACCTCGAGAGACTGGAAGAGGTGAAGTCGAAGTACGACCCAAAGAACGTTTTTCACAAAATGCAGCCAATTTCAAAGGGCGCATCCTTAGGCAAGAAGGAATAGGATGAGCGAGGACCTTAAAATGAAAATAAAGGCGGATGGCCTCTTTTTTTTTCAAATCGTTTCTGAGTCTTTCTCTCCTAGAAAAAAAAAAAACGGTGTTTTGTTCTTAGCGTTTTGCTGCCCCCTACTACGAGGATGCAAAGATAAAGGATCGCACAAAAATGGACCAAGTCGTAGTTTTATTGACAACTAGGAGCATCGAGAAAAAATCGCAACATAGTGAGGAATGGGGAACTTATTTAGCGACATGTCATACTCAGAGGTGTGAAGCAATGTGATATTTGACGGCCTTCACAGTAGTCCAGCCCTCAAGAGCATCCTCACCCATGTCTCGACCAAAGCCACTTTGCTTCACTCCCCCGAATGGAACATTGGGAGCAAGCATCGCCCACGCATTGACCGTCACTTGGCCCGACTCGAGTTCCTTGGTCACGCGATGGGCACGGTTCAGATTGCTGGTAAAGATGGCCGCACTGAGGCCGTGATGGGAGTTATTGGCTTTGAAGATGGCTTCTTCCTCCGTGGTAAACTTGGAAATACTCTGCAATTGGTGATCTGGTTAGTGTTCAAACCCCATATAGCATTACATGGGCGCTTGCTTACAGCAACAGGACCGAAGATCTCCTCTCGCATGATTGTTGCATCATCACCAACGTCCGCGAAAGCAGTATTTTCGACAAAGTATCCCGTATTACCGATCCGCTCACCACCGAATAGAAGCTTAGCTCCACATTCCTTTCCTTGACGGATGAAGTCGAGAATTTTCTCATGCTGCACACGACTAACCACCGGCCCCTTTGTAGTAGACGCATCTAAAGGATCACCGGCGACTGTCGGAGCGTCCATGGCAGCCTTTTTGTAAGCCTCGATAAATCGATCGTAAATAGAGGCCTGGACGTAGATGCGGGACCCAGCCGCACAGATTTGCCCATTGTTGGCTGTGATTCCAATGCGAGTCCAGAGAAGAGCGTTCTCAATATCGCAGTCGTCAAAGACAATCGATGGCCCTTTGCCGCCGAGTTCAAGACTGACCTTCTTGAGGTTGGTCCGGGATGCTGCTTGTAAAATCTTGCGGCCGGAAAGATCACTACCGGTGAATGCGATCTTGCGTACATCCATATGTTCCGACAGAGCTTGACCCGCGCTGGCACCCTCTCCAGCAACGATATTCACAACTCCAGGAGGAATGCCTGCCTCTTTCACCAGCTCGGCAAGCTTCTGGGCGTATAGTGGGGATAGCTCGGAAGGCTTGATGATCAAAACATTACCAGTGACCAGAGCAGGGGCCAGCTTCCAAATTGTAATCATGCTGAGAACGTGTGAGACGTCGTGAGGGGGTTGTAGGGGGGGTTTAGATTTTACGGGACAGCTTACAGTGGAGCATTCCAAGGCACGATCGCGCCACAAACACCCAAAGGCTCACGATGAGTATAGGCAATTCCGCCATCCATATCAAGTGTCTTGCCATCAATTTTTCCCGCCCAGCCTGCATAGTATCGCAAGCAGCCGACGGCCTGAGGGATGTTCATTCCAATGGAATCGGTATACAGCACGCCGGCATCGATGGCCTCCAGCGATGCTAGCTCTTCCGCATCGCGTTCGAGCAGATCTGCAAGTTTGAGCAACAGCTGGGATTTGACAGGTCCTGGAACGTTTCTCCATGTTTTGAAGGCTGACTTGGCGGACTCAACAGCTTTGTTGATATCATCCGGGCCTGCGGCGGAGATTCTTCCAAGTTGTGTGCCAGTCGAGGGATTTTCCACACCTAGCGTCTGGCCGGTCGATGAGGGGACGAATTCATTGTGGATAAAGAGTCCCGCCGGAACTGAGAGTGTTAGCAATAGTCCCATCTACGGCTAAGATGGACTGACTTGTAATTTGGCGGCCGTAAATGCCCGTAACAGTCAAACTTGAAGACATTATTGGTCAAAGAAAAAAAATATTTCGAAAGGCAGATTCGCAAAAATTTTCACGCTGCAGATGTGATGGATGACTTTTATATTTGACATCCTCGGAGTGTTCCGTCGTAGGCCCCACAATCCCTTACATATGCATCGAAACTATAACTGCTCCACCCCCCGTTGATTTCGAAGAACGGAAAGCATCTTCTGTGAGATTAATCGCCGGTTCTAAGTAAGCGAGGGTCTTGTTATTTCGGGGGTATAAGATGGACTTTTACATTCCATCACATTGGAGGGGAGTTTCAAACTGGTAGAACGTTGTAAAAAAGATGGGAGGGGTTAAGCCTGTGGATTCAGTCGCGTGGGCAGAAAACTCACTTTCAGCAGGAAAGTTTGTCAACCCGAGGGACTAAACCCAATTTGGTAGCCTTGGCGCTCTTAAAGTTGGGTGACGCAAAAAAAAAAGTGTCAACTTGGCCCACCGTGTACTTTGTATAAGATTTCTGCCAGATGAATTCTCTGAGATTTCCGAGGCTATTATGGCCTAGCTATCTTGCTAACTTTTACCCGAATAGAAACAAAACATCAAAAGTGTTAGACCAGATTTTCCATCGGTGGTTCAGATTTCTTGGGCGCCTTAGAGAATTAGCTGAGCGTTGAATAGGCGGTAGAGTCAGGATTCGAGCGATGTGGCTGGTGGGGTGTCAATACTTTTGCTGCGTCACTAAACAATGACGGTCCATTGGTTGTACGGAGTCGTTTCAGCACCTCTTTTCTGCCACTTACAATCTCATCCAAGACCGAGAAGTGTGAGGGGTATGACTATTTCCGTAGGCGGTGAGACCTTTTCTGAAGGAGGTAGGCAAGGAGTGCTGAAAACTTATGGCCCATCACTGTCCATGAAAACTTGGGAGCAAACTCTTTGAAAGAGAAGAGACCGGGGTTTGCAAAAAAAAGGGGGGGGGGCGTCAGTTTGTACGGCGTTTGACTGTACAAAGATTTGTATGGGTAGATTTACCAACCCGCTTTCGTGCATGCATTGGTGCAAACCCTTTTCTGCGGCATTTAATTAGTAATGTTGCAGCACGACGCTAATAAGGTAGTACAGAGATATAACCATTTAACGGAGTACTCCGTGCATGGTTTGTGTATACTCTAGCACAAAACAGCCAATTCAATTTGTTAGAACTCATTTAACTTGTATACCAGCTACTTTAACAATTAATAGGCCCCTTGTAAGCGTCAGTGGGCTGCTTAACATCTAGAAAATTTGTCCCATGCGATAGGATGACACAGTGTTAATCTCGATCGCCTTCAAAGTGCGTAGGTTGAATCCCACTCATGTGCATCATTGTAATGTGCCAAAAGAGGGGACAATGCGTTGTTTGGACGATCTGACCCAGATCCTTGAGAACGAGGAGATCACATATGAGCCAGAACGGATGGATACCAGTGCGCTCCTGTTGTGGACAATCTACGGGGTTTATCTTCTAGGTTTAGGGAGTAACCAGAGTAGAAGATGATGCCAGAACCGGTTGAAGCGCAGGGAATTCTCCCGTAGATAAAACCTTCAAACAAAGCTTTCATCATAGCATCGTGTCCCATCCCGAACAGACCCATTCTAGATTTCCACCTCTTTTCGAAGATCGCAATGGAGTCGTGATTGCAGCGGCCGGGGATCAACGGCGTAAGACTCTATAATGAACTGGGTCCGGTTAACTTGTTGAATACTTGAATTATAAATCCTGGCGGTTGTGTCAAGTCTGCCTTGGATAGCCCCAAGACTGAACGGATAAACTCACCCTGATCTCCACTACTTAGCTTTCCAAAAGGCCCAGGCCAAGACCAGCAAGCCCTTGACACCAGCCGACAACCAGAGAATGGGAGCAACACCCCCGGTCACTTTCGTGATCCATCCGCCAACGATGGCGCCCACAAGGGTCAGCACAAACGCAATGACTCGCCGGTCGCGTTTGACATTCCTGATAAGAAACAACTGGGGGTCCGACATGAGATCGCAGAGAAGACTGGTAATCACCACGGTTGGGATTTCATTGTATCCCAACGCACGACTTGCTACGATCTGACCGGCAGACTGCATGCTGAGGAGAACGATCGGGACTTCCTGATTCCATGGCGGTGCCACCTGCGAACCTTTACCGGCTAGCGTACTAGAAACGGCACCCCCTTGAACCAGCCCAGCCGTAAGCAGGATTATACTGGCCTGCACTAGGAATGACAGCATCAATGTCACTCGTCGCCGAGCACCTAACACGCGATGTAATCGTGCGAACAGGAAGGATCCTAGGATGAAACATCCAATCGAGGTGAGCGAGCGCGCCCAGCCATATGGACGGAGGTTTTGGTGCGATGCACCCAGACCGACAAAGATGGTGTTTCCTACAAACCACTGTGGTTAGCCGACCCTGAGCTAGGATTGTGGACAGGGGAGGTTGTGATCCATACCTGTTTGCATAGACACAAAGGTGTTGTAGGCTGAACATGTTAGGGTGGGAGGTATCGCAGTTACGTAGACGGGATTTGGGCTTGTTCCTACCTCTGTAGATCGTGCTATCCACAAGTCCCGATGTCAAACAACAAGCGAACAGTAGGAGGTCCGCATGCTGTGGCTCGAGCTCAGCCTTCAGAGATGCTGCAAGTCCATCGAATGCACCTTTCTCATGGTCCATGCTGTATTTAATTAACTACAGGCAGAGAGAAATGAGGATGGAAAGCCAAAGAGACACCGGAACCATTGAAATTAAACACTACCGAAAGAGGCATTTTGCTTTTCCGCGGCGATTAAAGGACAGGGGAACAAATTATAGGATGTACCAGCATTTCCTTCCCCTCCCCCTGGTCAATCGCATCATCTCACCTAGTTGATGCACCCTAAGACGGGGCTAAGGGTCGTGGAAAACTCCGAAGCTCCGTGAAAATTTAAGGAATCTGCAAGACTCGAAGCGAGATGGTGGCAGCCACTATCACATGTCTTGCATAGTGCCCTTGGTATTTCTTGTTGGAGGGGCAGCAGACCAAGCCCATTTCCTACTAACTTAGTCCCCGATGCACGCCGAGAGTGCCAAGGATGACCCGGTGGATGCACGCTGGCCAGTTTCTTGGCGGCAAGTTTCCCCCTAAACTCCATCCGCAGGCAGGACTTGTGTCACTGTGGATTCTCAAGGAGGGGTTGATGTACGACCCGCTGTGCATTATCCCCAATCCTTGTGGCAGCCAAGCGTCTCAGGTTTACAGACACAGCCTCCCGATAGGATAATACCAGAAACGACAAGGCCAAGACGGACGGGACAATGGTGCATGTTGCTGCAGGGCATATTCAGCATTCAACTCTCCATCTCAGCCTTGAGTACGTCGACATCCAATTCTGCCATCACCCCAAGCACAACACCTAGACTCTCCATAAATCCATTGACAGAAACACGGAGCATTCGGTTGGTCGTCGCAATGTATGTAATCTTCAATACGGTTCTAGACTCATCAGGGTCCTGTTTTTGTTTTTTTTCTTGCGGCTGGGATGGTGCTTCGACCGCCGGAGCCTCGATGCTCAACGTTCGTCGCACGAGAGGGGATAGTTCAGCGTCAACTTCCAAAGTGCGTAGAGCGCATGATGCGAGGCGACTAGTTGGGAGAGGGAGAGAGATTGTGCTGATTCAAATGGTGAGTATCACTTGGTCTATTCGGATCTTGGCTTTGGGGAACTAGTTTGTGGTGAGGGGAACGACTTACAGTGAGTAAGGAAACTCGGGATTGATTGGTTGTGTGAGAGCCATGATAAGCGTAATTGAGTTCGTAAGAGTGAAAGAGGATAGTCCTTGCGAATACTAAAGAGCGTCTTCCAAGCAACAGGGGTGGATGAGTTGTTGGGGTGAGGATGACTAGGTGGAAATTGGCGATGCCCAAGTGCACTTCGGAGTCCCAGAGGAGGAACTCCGGCCCTGGTGAGAACTGTGTGGCTGACTCAGCCCCACGGTGATAGCCCAACAAGGGAAGAGGTCCCCACTGACGTTCATTTACAACATACCCTTCACTTACCAACCCTGGCACTTTGTGTACACAAAGTACGAATTGCACTACAGTACGCGTTGATTCGCTACACAGCACCAAAATAGTATCTTATGCGTTTATTTGGGTGATGATCTCCCGGTCTGAAGAGCTTGGCGAACGAGGGTCTTTGTGGAACGGTGCATTCAGCCAAGAAACGGAACCCCTCTGGAGCCGTCGTGGTGAAGATCTCTCCGGCGAAAAGGGTGCAAAATGCATTGCAACACTTGACAATATGCAGTCATCTTGCCAAGATACACAGATAGATTAAATATCTCTGTGAAGCAAGTCATCAGGATCAATGTTGTGGGTCGATTCTCCCATCGCAAACCTATCCCAATCAACCTGGGAGGCCCAATGTAAACATGCAATATTTAGATCGTGATCTTTCATACGGAGATATATGTATGCAACACTATTCGGGCGTTTGAGTGATGGGAATAATCCGAACACCGGCTCCGCAACTAGCGCTGTTAATCTCGCGCATTTAGTCTTCTCTGAGGACTCACTCAGCTGAGGTCATCTAGAATCAGTACGACGCGAAGGAAGACAAGCCATCTGGATGTCTTGGCAGATGGTGGAATGTTACATCCCCAAGAAACTGAGGCTTGTGCCTGTGGTCAGATGCCTTTGTCCTCTACGAGTAGGTCGACAGTTCTCCTCTGAGACTGGCGTCTGCATCTAGCAAAATTGCTTGCGGGGTATAGAGCTAGGTAATATAAAGAGCAGCGTAGCCCTTGGACTGTAGTACAAGAATCCAACTATCCAAACAAGAAGACATCTCCCTTGCCAAAGTTCAAACAATGACGATCACAATCACTGTCGAGAAGGATGGATACTACGAGGTCAACGGGATCCGGCAGGAGCCTGTTGTCTCTCTTTATGTGATTCCTGCAGCTTCCAAGTTGCGCCGTATGCTGAAAGACACCAAAGAGCTCATCGTATGTCCTGGTGTGTATGATGGCCTTTCTGCTCGCATTGCCATGCAGGTCGGGTTCAAGGGACTGTACATGGTAAGAACTCTGATGTTGTCTAACGCTGCATCCACTGTACGCTGACGGTGTTTACAGACTGGTGCCGGGACTACCGCCTCACGCCTGGGAATGGCTGATCTCGGCCTGGCTCAGCTTCACGACATGAAGACCAACGCTGAAATGATTGCAAACCTGGATCCTTTTGGCCCTCCATTGATTGCAGACATGGATACTGGCTACGGAGGTTAGTGCTCCGCACTCCGAAGCAATAGGTTCCTATCGCTCGTTTGGAAAGACGTCTAACTTTCTTCCAGGCCCCTTGATGGTATCAAAGGCTGTTCAGCAATACATCCAGGCGGGCGTGGCTGGCTTCCATATTGAAGATCAGATCCAAAACAAGCGTTGCGGTCATCTCAATGGAAAGAAAGTCGTCAGCCTGGAGGAGTACCTCATGCGCATTCGTGCTGCCAAGTTGACCAAGGATCGCTTGCACTCGGATATTGTTCTGATTGCACGAACCGACGCACTTCAACAACATGGCTACGAGGAGTGCATCCGTCGACTCAAGGCTGCCAGGGATATTGGAGCGGATGTTGGACTTCTTGAGGGCTTTACTTCAAAGGAGCAAGCCCGACAGGCAGTCCAGGATCTGGCACCTTGGCCTCTTCTTCTCAACATGGTGGAGAATGGGGCGAGTCCTCTCATTACCACCAAGGAGGCCGAGGAAATGGGCTTTAGAATTATGATCTTCTCATTCGCTACGATCACCCCCGCTTACATGGGCATCAAGGCCACTCTGGAGCGCCTCAAGGCAGATGGAGTAGTCGGTGTACCTGACGGACTAGGACCACGAACGATCTTCGAGGTCTGTGGGTTGATAGATTCCATGAAGGTTGACACAGAATCCGGAAATGATGGTTTTGCCGAGGGAGTCTAGTAACTTCGTGGGAACTAGTTTGGATATATGAATGTTTTGCATTGGAGAAGCAACGGAGTTTCTATAGCTAGATATTCAAATTGGAAGCAACGGTTTTAATATACAACTTCACATGGTTTTAAACCTCATCCAAGTTTGGGTCACCTTTGTGGGATTCCATCTCATCGCTCATTTCCACCGAAGGGGTCACTGGGGGAATCTTTTTAACAATTTCTTTTTCAACAATAGACCATTCGCCCTTTTGAACGATCTTGTATAGACCAGGCCACAGGCTAGCCTGAACCAATCCATCCGAGCTCTCCTCCTCTTTGAGGGTGCGCATTTTCTCATCCCGGAACGGCAGCCCGTATTGGTAACTGCCCCAGAAGATGTATCTGTCTTCCTGACAGTCCAGTTTGTGCTTTAACTTGATGCAGCGTGCAATGATGTCGTGTAGTTGTTGCATTCGTTTCGGCCTGTCGGTAGTAGCGTAGCGACCGAAACAGGCTTCCACCTTCTCGATGATCAAGTTGCACTGTTCTTGTAAACTGGGGGTTCCCAATGACACGACAGCAGTGCTCATCGCGCATCGCCAATGCCGGGAGATCAGGTTAGAAACTTCCGAGGTTAGAGAAGAGTGACAGTGATGATTCTTTTCCGAGCGCTTACATTGTTTATCAATTTCGGAGTCCAGCTTAGAGAGATAATTCCCCCAAATTGGCTCGGTTCCTACCATAAATCGGTTCCAAAACGACCGATAGATCAGGGCGGCAATGTCGGATTGGATAATGTCCAATGTCGAAATATCAAGGATGTCTGGTCTTGGTGTAGCATCGTTTCTTTGATGAGTTGTTGGCTTTGCCGCAAAATGAGTAAACCTCCAGTATGCAAGATCGTTATAGAGTCGACACATCTCGCTTTTAGCTTCTTCAACTGAAAACTTCTCAACCCCAGCTTGCAGGCTTGCGATTTTGGTCATGAGGATTCGGTTCTCTTTTCTGGCGACTTCTGTTTCCCGAATGGCATTTTCGAGCAGCTCACCTCGTTGATGAGCCTGCTCCTCTGCAAGAAGCCGACCTTCCTGAAAGAACTCGACTTGTTTTTCTGCGACTCTGATTCGCTGTTTCGTCTGTTAGATAGAAACAAGTGTAGGGGAAACCTTCACCGACCTGACGGAGCCGCTCAACCTCATCACATGTAGCCTTCTTATCCATACAAGCTATGGAATTTAGTGGATTCCATTTATGACAAGAAAGAAACGAACCAACAGTTATTTGCCCCCATTTTGAGGATCGATCTGGGGAAGTTTCAGCACTCTTGTTCGCCTGCTCAGGCTCAGGGCTGTCGTCACGCCACATTGCGTACTGATAGTTGAGTGATGGAAAGTCTGAAATAATCAAGAGAATTGGTTCACTTTTTCGACTAGTTGATGACACCATCATTAGCTGAAAGTGTAGGAATTTACCTTACGCCGACGCTCGTTGCGGCTAAGCGCAAAGTCAATGATATCAAACTTGCGAAATGAGAAAACTCTTGATCCCTGGTTACAGTTTTCCCTCCCTGTCTCTACTGTTGAAAAGTTACAAGCCAGAAAGTCCCGACTCTATGCTCCTACGACGAAAAACACATGAAATGGGGTTATCAGACCGACCAGTCGATTCATCCGGGAAAGCAGCAGCGGCTCCTCCAAGGAGGCAAGCTTTTGCTAGATGAAAGTCAGAAATTCCGCTACACACCTTGGGAAAACTAGTCACGCACACACAGGATGTCTTGACACGTTGCTTTGGTACTGCGCTCCAAACCATGGACTTGGAATATGAATATACTACCATGCAGGAAGACGACTGCTGTAGTTGTCTGTGATGCTGGGGGTGGAACAGTTGTGAGTCTTTCTTGTATAGAACTGATTGAACACACTTTGGTGATTTTACCTGTTGTGTTAAGCAACCCGAACCGCTGAGATTTGAACTAGCTACAAAGGGAACGGGGTATATACTAAAGGCTTGCTAACACTCTTCTCTCTAGCAATTTAAGGTGCTGTTTGTGGTTCGGTGATGTTGGACGAGAGATTTGGTGCATTGGTGAAAGACATCATTGGAAAACAGTCGCATCAGCCTCTCCCCCAGTCGACTGCAAAGGCTGCAAGAAATTAGTGGCAAGACTACATCGAACGTGGGTTTACAGGCCCTGTCGACGAAGATGAGATGTGTGAGCTGGGATATATATTATCGGCTTGCTGAGCGTTCTATTAAATCCTTGAATAGGATATTCCCATCCTTTGCTTTCTGCTTTTTATCTAATTAGATCCCGGTTTCTGGGGTTTCAGGGATCTCAAACGTCAATCTCAGTGAGGGGCACTTAAATCTAGACAGGCACTTCCTGATATATCTTGATTTGATTGTCTTGGCTGTGGCCCACTCTAACCCACATACAGAGAGCAAGTGAAGAAAATCTTCGATCCTCTCGTTCGGCAGATTGAGAAACTTGTGGCCGAGCAAAGAACGAGCGTCAAGGCAGCAGGTTTCTCGACTAAGGCGAGCCCACAAACCAATGTTTGTGTTAAGAAAAGCTTTTGTTAATTTCAATCAGGCTATTCTTCTGGTCGGCGGCCTTGGTGCTTCGTGGTATCCATTCAAGCGCCTACAGGCTGTTTCCGACGGCATTCAAATCAGGCAGCCCTAAACGCGCAAATCTTCAATGGCTTGCTAACTCAAACCGATCTTAAATACTGATACAAGAAACAGGGGGTCTGCTGTTGCTCGGTATGTATCTGAAGCAATTATTACACTTGAGTTGTACTTGACAAGTCCAGGGGCGCTGTTGTACGCGGGTAAGAAGGCAACCAAGTAGAGAGACACATTGCCCAAAGCAGTTATGGCATTACCATGAATGTCCCCTTTGATTGCAAAAAAGCACCGCGCAGATGAAGATCTTCAACGGTGTCCATTTGAAGAAGTTTGGAATGTGCATAACTGCTTGCATTGGTGTATCCGTAAAAGTGAGTGACCTGCAATTTCTACCACTAATCACCAGGAGCTATGAGTGCTTACCACAGAGACTTTTAGGGTAACCCAGTTGCTGAGAAAGAGCCGATTAGAATGAGCTTCTACCAAGTTCTTGGTATTTCGCTGCTCTTTGTGGTGTTGTCAATCAAACACAGCTCCTGAAATAAGGAATTCCAGCATGTCCCCGTATTGCCACAATTTAAAAGGCAACCTTTAACTGACATTACAAGGTGTCGGGAAACTGTGTGAGCTCGAGGCAGACGTTAATAGAATCCCAAGAAAGATTTTTACAAAGAAAACGAACTCCAAGGGCAACCGATTTTTCCACCTCAGCCACGATATGGTTCTAACGCCAACTTCTGCATCGTTGTTGCTTGACCTACAATTCAATGGTGTCTCCGATGGGAGCATAAGATCTCGCTAGTAAATATGGCGAGCCGGGGATTGTATGCTTTAAGATGGCTGATTGAAAGGGACCCCATGCCTTTAATAGGCGTGGTTGTGCTTCTTGTAGGCTCAATCGCTTGTTTGAATTAATTTGATTTTTTTGATACAGTCAAGAAGACATAAACAGCTAGCTAGCAACTCGGACCATGTATTTGCTTTCCTTGAGGCGAACTCCACAAGATGATCTGGGCCAGCCAGGTGTCCACAACCTAGCAAAGCGTATTGAATGGGATTAGATAATAGAGGAATTCTCGCACGACAGGCTGCAGTGGACGAGATTCTATATCATGTAACCCTAATATCCTCAAAAACAGCAAAACGTTGCAACCCTGAGCCTTCCAAGACATCCAACGGTGCCACAAAAGCCATCTGACTCCATGAGAAAACTTGATTCTTTCCGCCATAGATAAAGACCTCAAAGCGACCGACAAAGGCTCCATCCACCCACACACGACTTCCATATACCCCATTTGTGGAGATGATGACTTGCGATTCCCGGGGGATAGTCACAACCTCGTGGCTTGAGGTGGTCTTGTTAGCCCAAATTCGTCCAGGCTGATCTGGGTCAAAGCCATCAGTTTCGGCAACAGAGCGAAGTGGATAGGGCCATCCATCAGAAACAAACGTCAATTTACCGTCCGATGACAAGGTAAGTGTCGCATCGGAAGACTGCAGAGAAAAGGGACCCGTGACATCTAATTGGAGGGTGTAATTCATACCCTTACTGCCATGGCCAAGGTTGTATTCATCCTGATTGGACTCCATGATTGGCCTTGTCCATGAAAGCAATGGTCCTGATCCATGACTCCCTTCTCCTGGAAGGCGTCGGTCAAGATTTTGCCCCACGGCCTGAGGGGACAACTTGGCAATGGATTTGGCTAGGGTTTGTTCGTGCAGGCGAGGTCCACGTGCACCACACCACGCGCGCGAAGCGACGACTGGAATGCCGTCACGGATTGCATAGTAGGCTTCAAGTTGAGTAGTGGCGTCCGGGCCGCTATCATTCCAGGCAGCCAAGAGAGCGCCTGGTACAGCTTTGGCATCTGGTTGTTTGGTCGTATTCACCGGATTGAAAAGCTCTGGCGTCCACTGCCACCCGTCACGATCGGCGAAGTTGATAACACGGGCATGGTTGAAGAACTGAGGATAGGGGGCTGGGGAGATGGGCACATGGTTGCTTTTCAACGATACATAGGCCCACCAATCCTCAGAGTTAATAACCCGATAGCCGTTGCGAACTAGATCCACTGGGTCTGATTGTCCAGACTGCCAGTGTTGAATCGTTATATTTTTATCGATGGTAAGGTGTGACGGCTCGTATGTCCCCCAGATACGAACCGTTTTGCCAGACATTTCTTGCACAAAGCGGGACATTTCGTTCACGAACTCAACATAGTCATCCGCGAAGTCAGGATCGTACTCATCGGCGCCAATGTGCACCTCCTTTGTGTGGAACCAAGGAAGGAACTCAGTCCAGATAGACTTCATCAAAGGAACAGTGTCCGGATGGGAGAGATTGAGCAGATCCCTCGAGTCTAACGCGAGCTCACGTCTCCATTTTGTAACAGTAAGACAGTGCCCGGGGCTTTCGATCTCGGGAATCACTGTAACACCTCGCTGAGCACAGTGATGCTGGAAGTCATCAAAGTCAGCCCGAGATAACGTTTCGTTGGCACGTTGGACAAGAGGGCGAAGAGCCTCGCTTTCGGGGTGCAAAGAAAACTGCGAGTAAACCGCATTCCATGTCTCATTCTGACCGCGACTCAATGGGTAGTTGTCGGTTGCATGGTATTGAAACTCGGACATCTTGAAGAACGAGGCATAAGTGCATAAATCTTTCAAAAACTCCAGCGAATACCACTTACGACCAGCATCTAGCAGGAATCCACGAGTCGCATAGGCGGGCGCATCTTCCACGCGACCGGGTGGTAGGGATGAGGGTGTCAAAACGAGCTGCTGGAGAAGTGTTCGCGTCCCCCACCACATACCTCGCGCCCCGGAGCCTCGAATTGACACGCTGTCATCGTGGATCTCCAACTCATATCCCTCCTCGGTCTTGCATCCATTCTCGTAGGTGAACAGGTCCGGGTGGTCTACACGATCGAGGAATATTCCCGACGCGTGTTTGGGAAATTGCTTGACCTTGCGAAGCTCCCATGAACTATTCGTCAGCTCCCGTAAGTCGTCGCGAAAGGTGGTTGCGAATTCAGATGCCGATGGTGGAAGCAGCGTTAACCCGTTCTGATCCTTCCAGCTAGCAAAATCGGCATTGAGGTAGATTATCCGTTCGGTGGTTGCCAACGAAAAGCCGTTATTATGAGCAGAACCAGTTTCAAAGTGAACCGGGGGCAGGATCTGCAGCGCAGACGCGACTGCGGCAAGGGATAGAACAATCCACTTCATGTCTGGAAATTGTGAGGTTGGCTGCGATGTGAGCTGACCTTTTTGTTGCAAAGCAAGGGGTTGCATCTGGCGGTGTTACATTCCTAGTTGTACACGAGCGTGGGAGATGAGTGTCGCGGGGAAGTGTGAAGTTGATATACCTGTGGGGGGCTTTATATCAGCAGGGGGCAGGGTAGTACTCTATTTGGTGAGAAGTACGAAAATCCACAATATCAAGTTTTACTGAACTATGCATCTGACTATATGGAGTCAACATCCACTTCCGGCCCGTCTGTCTTTCCGCCATCGTGCTTGGATCCGGGTGATATCTCGGATGGAAATCGCCGATGAGACGGTTGATGAGGAACTATAGATGTAAGTGAATATGTACTCAAGGAAAGGTGGCGCTAGGTGATCTGCTCAAGGCTCTGGTATGTCAGGGTTTATTATAGCCACTTGAACATGCACACAGAGGACAATGTTCTCTCCCGCCATCCAGCCAGTTCAGTCACCAGAGACACTCGAAAGATGCGACTAGAAAGGAACTGCTCGAAGATGCCACGAGGTCACCAGTGAAGCACATCTAGTCTTGCAAGGCCGAGTTTCGCAAGTAGGAAGCTTTGGCTTTGAAATCGCAGAACCGGTAACCACGAGCCGATTGAATGCTTTCCCTGTTTTTCATGTGCCACATTTGGTGCCTATACCAGTACCAACATGACGTCTTTTGAAATTGCGGCAATGCCAATTCACGACCGTATCATGTTAGCACCGAGTCGTTTGAGAGGGTGGAATCCAAGGTGGTGATGAGCTTGTAAGAATCAAGTCATACTAGTGAAGGAATGGAAGAATTTTTTGTATAAACGAAGAACAGTCGGTAGTCGAGAACAGTGATCGAGACTAATTAGTGGCTCAAGTAAGAGGTTCCTTTTAGCTATGAAAGACTCAGCTGTCATGTTTTGGCATCTTCCTTTTTGTCAAGAATGTACCCACTGCAATCTACCTATTTCGAACATCGTGAATTGGTATAACGTATAAGAGGCTGGAACATTTTTGGCGTTGCCAGTTGTTGCTTTGAAGCAGACCTAGAAATATCTAGTGTCCTTACTCGGGCCTGGTTTCTTCATCGGCTCAAGGTTGTATAACAACTCTGTTGCACCTTTCACCACAACCGGCACTTAATACCTAGTTAGCGCCACTTGGATTACTGAAGTCCAATGTGCATTAAGAACCCAAAGGGAGAACTGCGGAGAAGCCGAGCTCCGCGGGTAAGCCGATCTTAGTTCAGCGGAGCAAGGGACGTCCGCGGATGTTGCAGGCCCTATTTATGGTATTAGACTCCAAGGTTGGAATGGTACAGGTCTAACTGAAGCAGTGCGATAAATTATCTGGATATCTAGATAGGTCAAATTTGGGCTTCCAAAGCCTATAGAGCTAGATTCTCGAACGGTAGACGCTTGAAGTTGGCTTCTGGGCTGCCGGTCACCGCGATAGCAGCTCAGTCTTGATATACTTAGTGGTAGCATTTTTCACATCGAAGGAATGCTTGAACTTGCAGCGGAAGGCAACACCGGCCCTGATATTTGAGATAAACACCCACCAAAAGTGAAAGTCCGCAAGTTCTTTCCCAGGGAAGGTTTGGAGGAGCCTGCCGTGCTTGTCTTTCTCGTTGGCGGACGTAAGAGGATCAGAGATGGTTGATCCTTGTGGACGAGGAGCATTGGTGTCGCTCATAGAAATTGTTGAAGCGAGTCATTAATGAAAGCACTTTTATCAAGATCCATTGATAAGTAACGAAAGAAAGTCGACATGTAGAAAACCCCGAAAAACATCGTTTGGATTTTGATAACCCCAAAAGTATCTGCATACCATAGCTTGAAGACTTTCAAAGCGATGTCTGCATTCACTGAACACGACTGAGCGTTTGTATTTGAAATTGTTCAGTAGGTGTATCTGAAGCCAGACTTTTGAATTTCGATCGTTAGCAAGACCATACAGTTGACCGGTCATTGAGAAGAAGCACTCACAACACCCTCAAGGATCTTAAATCCCTGCCCTTGCTGGCGATTGGCAACGTAAAAGTGAATTGCGAATGCGCCCACGATCGCAATGAGAAGAATGTGGGAACTGGCAATGTTGTCAGCAAGAGCTAAATGTACAATCATTTATGAAAATCTACCCGACTGATACCCAAACTGCGGTTTGATAGTGCGGGGCTTCTTGCTGCCGAACAATATAGCTGCCTGCCACACCTCCAAGTCCATTGAATGCAGTGACCGCCGCTGCAGTGGCCACTCGTTTCCACTGGCCCACGATATTGTTGGCCTGGAAAGCATTGAGGGCAGCCCAGTTCGAGATATAAGCGCCGGTAGCCAAGAAGGTGCCGATGTAACGCACTGTGACCAGGGTGGATGCGGCAAGACCGAGCATAAGAAAACCAGCGATGAGGACTAGGGCATTGAAGATGATCAGCGGCCCACGAACGCGGTAGAAATCACCAATAAGTGATGTGAGAATAACCGGGATGACGGCATAGTAGTAAGGCTATTGAAGGAGTTAAGAAATGTGGCTCTTTATACTCTGGATCAACTTACCGGCGTGGAGAGCAGAATGGATTTGTTTGCGCTGAAACCCATACCAGATTGTAAGATGATGGGTAGAAAATACGACAAGGCAGTCGAGATGAGATTGAGCAAGAAAAACATGACCGCGAAACCATAGATCTTCGGATCCTTGAAATTAGCAAGAAGCGTGCCCCAGGAAAACGGTTCCGGGATAACATCAGCTCGATCGTCCTGAATTCGGCGCATTGCGAGACACGCTTCCTGGTCCGAAAGAAAGCAAAAGCTACGCTGAGCGTTCTCGGGGAATTCAACCATCCACCAATAGGTAATGATACCCAGGACGCAAGTAATGAGACCCTGGACAACATACATCCAACGCCAACCCGCCAACCCGGCCACGCCGTTTAGATGATTGAGACCAAAATTTACAATATTGCCAGTGGCCAGGATCACAACTTCCCCGGACTGTAAAAATGCAAATCGGAGCTGTTGCTCTCCTCGCGGGTACCAGGCACTGACCAGGTAGGTTAGACCAGGGTAAATGCCGGACATAGAAATTCCGAGTAGCACACGCAGGACTATCATCTGCTGCCAGGTGTGGACGAAAGCAGTGCATAGTGTCAACAGCCCAAATACGAATGTGATGGTGGCAAACCAGATGCGTGGGCCGACAAAGCGAACTGCGACTGTACACGGTAGCTGAAAGATCACACTGGAGATTGTGAAAATAAAGATGGAGACAGAATACCGGTTTCCCTGGTTTAATTCAAGATCATTGAGCATGGTCGTTACCGAGGCTGAGGACAAAATACCCGAGTCTAACAAATTGAGACTGCACAAGAGCCCACCGATGCTACAAAGACGGAGATCGACTTTCCATCGTACCCGCTTCTCTAGAGCGGCCCACTCCTCCCCGCGCTCCGGATTGAGATTGCTTTGACCATCTTCAAAAGGATTTCGATCGAATACCCCACCGTCGGACTGTGCATTGGTATCTCCTGTCACTGGCTCGTGGATGTGCGGTTCTTGGGCCGTTGGTGTCAAAGTGAACGAGAACCGGCCCTTCTCTGAGTTGACCATGTTGACTTTCTGCACGATCAGCCCAGTTTCCGTATTCAGATGTGTCACAGGTTAACTTGATGATGCACTTCCTTTTGTTATTCTCAGGTATTCCAAGATAAGAACGTGACAGAAGCCGGTCGAGTAGCGCGTCTCTTAGCGCGCACGTCGGACCTCGGATTATCAATCCAAATCTTTCGGCTAATTTTTTTTTCATCATGCAGGGGGTCACAGAATTAAGGCAAGTCAGTGCATAGATCAATTGATCAGACGTGTACGGAGAACTCCGTAGACGCAACATGAACATTTGAAGGATTCCCACGAGCATGTGACCCTGCACATTCCGAATAGCGACCCGCGAGATAAACAGACCCCTCTTTTGACATTCAACTTAGACCGGTTCTTCGGTGAACTCGGACGAAAAGTTGCATACACCGGGGCTTTGACTCATAACTGGATTCCCCCAGTGCACGCAGTTTTCTGTCAAAAAAACTCCGCTAAATCATGAATACACAACCATGGGCTTTGGAACTTGTGAACCAAAGCCTATTTAATCAACTTTGGGGACCTAGATTGGAGAGGCCCTGGGGCCACTGAACACAGCTTGGAAGCCACGAAAGATCTCACACAAGCAATGAAACTAACGGAAGTGCGAGGAAATAGATAAACAGGGCAAAGAGGCAAATGGATAACGAGAGAAAGAACATGGAGGCTGTAAAGAAGAATCAGAAAGCTCTTGATGTGAGGCTTATGCTTGTTTAACGATCATAGTGGGATCTCCAAGGCTAGTTTCTTTTATACTGAGGGAAATAATTCCGCCTCCAATCGTTAGCTTGCTAATAGGTAAACGCTAGGCAGTGCTTCATATGAGCCCTCATCCACAGGCAGCCTTGAACAGGACTCGTAAACATCACAGTCAGATAGTGATCAGCATTCTAAGTTTCATTCTTATCCAAAGGTCAATGATGAGCGGCGTGACATGGTAACACACTGATCCCTCTGGCAGAGAAGTGTGCAGCCTTGTTTCTCTAATGAACAACTGGTATGTATATCCACCTAAGACACTGAGATGCACCGCTGTCTTCTCAGTCTCGTATCAAGTGGTCATACCTTCCACCACAGCTCGTTTAAGTGACCAGCAAAGGAACCAGAATTCTGACATGCTACAGAATCCCACCGACTGAAACTCCGGTCGTCGATACCATCTAGGCGTCTCACCTACAATGGGTATATAGTTTTCTACAATAACATTGTACGTGGAACGCAATCCGTTTATCGATCGAATCTTATATGGAACGGGCCACCATAATTATAGTTTAGTTTACTGTATCCTGCTCTTTGACGGCCTTTGGCTAGGACCCGACCAATGGGCAATATGCTCATCCGCATAGCGCTCGTCAACCACACCCCATCGACCACTACAGTGCTGCGCTCTTTGTTCGCGTCGTCCTCGCTGTGCCGTTCTGTGCTGCAATCAGAGGCCGCCGAGTTTAGGATTGCTACCTTAAATGCTCTAGGCCTCGCATCGAATCGCGAAACCTGTGCCATGCAAACAAACTAGTATGTTGCTGCGGGAATGCTTATAATGGTCATTTAAGATTTGTATCTACCTATTAGTGGCCGAAATATCCGCATCTCCGAGGACTCCAGTGTGGATAGTCTAGGGTTCTAGTTTCCCCAATCCAATGACCCCTTTTTACATTCCACCATGTATCTAAACCTCTACCCTATGTAAGTCTGACCCCTCTCGCATTATGCGCCCTCCCTAGCTCCATTTACTCTCCTCTTGTTCCGCTTCTTCTCTTTCATTTTATCTCGCTCATAAGTATATGCCTGATCATGCGGTTACACTACATCCTAAGATTGTATCTTCCTCTCTTTTTTTCTTACCAGGTCCCAAGGGTTCACCAATTGGTTTGGCACGTGTTCTAGTACTTTGTACCTCCTGGAGCACTGAAACTATTCCAATTTGGCCGGTGGCTGATTCTGCTCCGAAATTGCCCCGGGTTGAAATCTTACATCTGGGATGTGGAATGTGGGACGTCCGAGATTAGAATGGCAGCCGGTAAGTTTGTGTATGAGATGTTCAGGTTGATGCTGTATAATGTCCGAAAAAACCAATAGGAAGAATATCCAAGTTAGAGCCTCTGCAGTCAGTGCAAGGGTTAAGGTGGAAAACAAAATCCAAGTAGAACTGACATGGAAAATAGCCAACTCTCAAAGAAGATCCAGGTACAAAGAAGATTGAGCCCTAGACCCGATTGAACCGTGGACGCAGTAAGCTTTACGGCCCGGTGATTGCTCTGTGTGTTGCCCCACGTTCGGTCGAATGGAGCCCGGAGGAGCTTGCAAAACACTGCCGATGACCTCCCCCCACGGTTTCGACTTTCTCTCTTTCTCCGCATATCAGATCTATACTGCTCATTATGGTCGAACTCATCAACCCACCGGAAACTCGCGAACTACTCCCTCCCCTCCTTGCATGCCTCCCACTAGCCTTTGTCTCGCCCCGCGCACCCCCAACTCTGCTACCACTACTCTCCCCAATTCTGCGCCAACGAGTCGGGGTTCTCAGTTCACTATCCACATCTTCCACCGAATCATGGCTGCAGCTACTGTGCTGGGATGCCGGGAAAGCAGAGCGTCTGCAGAGCGTCATTGACGGTGCCATTTTTGAACCACACCCCGTGTCGGGCGAAATCGAGCTTCCGGATGAACTTCCGGTGACATACAAACGGATCGACGATGAGACCCTCAAAGCACGAGTTCCACTCACTGAATACAGCTTGATGGTGGTCTTTCTATGGTGCCCGACAGACGAAGAGGGAGGTGGCCGTGGCTGGCGAGTCGGGGAGCTTTTGCCACGTGAGGGACCTGCTGAGGATGACAACGGCTGGGCTTCTTCCATCGGGGAGGCAAACGTCTTGGCAAAGGAAGCGCTCCTAGCTGAGACATTAAAGGCTGCCGAAGAAGAGAAATCCCAAGTGAACAGCATGGAGAATGACGACGACGATGACTACTGGGCTCAGTACGACTCCACACCCGGAGCCAAGACCCCCGCACCGCCTTCTGGTTCATCAAGGCCAGGTCCATCTGGCCTATCTGAGCAGTCATATTTCTCGCAATACAGCGACGTGCAGCCGGCCATGGATAATCATGATCCCACAGAGGAGCAACCGGAAGTTGGTCCATCATCGCTCAACGGAGATATGCTGGCCAGTCTCTTGCGACGACAGGTGAATGGAGTCAATTTAGACGACGAGCCGCGTACCAATGGGTACTCTCCAGACCATGTCCCCAGGGATAAGGCCGCACAAGATTTGAGTCACCCGCGGCCGGCCTCTGCATCTTCCGGGAGCTCTGATGCTATCGCCAAACTGGAACATGAGGCAGAGAGCCAGTCCACCTACGAAGTAGGAGTGAAACAACATATCGGTACGAGCATCAAAAGCTTGTTCCGCTTGGCCAAAGCCACTGGGATTTCCCGGGCAGAGTTCCAGGCATTGGTCTCGATGGAATTGGAGCTTCTGAAAATTACAGATGATGATTAGGGCCTCTAAGATACTGTGATACCCATGAGCCATGATCTTTGCTTGTGTTATGGAATTAACCTGGTTGTGGTAAAGATGATCTTATTACTACAGAATTGTTGCGTAGGATAAGTACGCTGCTTAATAATACGTATGTCATCATCCATCCCTCACAACTGCCCCCGTCGAAAGCGTGCTGCCGCCCTCGGTAGCATCGGATGTGTGCATAAAAGTCCATTGCAAACTGGTCGTGCGGGGAAAGGGGCGTCTGTGGTGGCGGCCGGATCAAGGTAGCTGTCGATCTTCCCGCCGGTCGACGGGCCTGGTCTCTTTCCATTGCGTTGTCCGTCAATCGGATGAGACATGTTAGATCTATCCCAACGCAGGGCGTATAGGGTAGAGTCATCGTAGAACCAGCAGATTGCGAGTGCAAAGGATTGTTCGGTATGGGTCGCGAACCGTGTCACGTTAGTCTTCGGTGCGCCGGGTAGCTTAGGCTTTGGGTTGTCCGTGGTCCAACCACCATCCGGTGGGCTAAGTACCGCAGCAAGTAGGCCCAGGTCATTGTCATCAGCCACATCATCTGTAAGCGAACCGCTGTGATCCTCAACTAGTCTGGATTTATCACCAGCATCAGTTGTCGCGTCCCCGTCAGAGTCCGTGGTAGCGAGACTGCGGGCGCGTCCACGTCCTCGTGTCTGACATGGGCGACCTCGACGAGATCCCCTTGCCGAGCTTGGGGGGTTTGAGCCAGGGTTGGCTTCTGAGGTGTTTGGGGAGGCATTGGGGGTTGGTTAACGGGTTGGTCTGCTATGTTGAGGGTAGATCTGGATAAAAATTGATGAAACAGTGATAGTTCCGATGAAGAACTGAGAGATGTGAATGGAAGAAGAAGTAGCAAGAGAAACACATGAGAGTAATAAAACAAACAAACAAGGAGCGGGCATCAGCAAAGGGTATATCAAATATGAACGCTAATATAAACAAGCCCGCTTCAGATGTATGATTAATTTGTGGACTCCTGCGTATGATGCAGGAAGTCTTGGAGGTATTCTAGGACCTTTTCTTCTGCTCCCACCAGGTTATCCTCATCCAGCCACTCCAGGTGTTCATTCCCCACTCCGGACCACCGGACTAGGTACTGCTTTCGTCGACCCCGTCCGCGGCCTCTGTGTCGCATGTCCAGGACCGCGTCTACGCCTGCACGATCTGTGTCTTCTGGGAAGCGTGGGTCGAACGTGGAGGGAGGTTCAGCTGAAGAGAGATCGCCTTCTTGAGGGGCACGTTCTAGGTGTTGTAATGATACCACTGGGTGAGCTCCAGCAAGCTCTGGCGGCATCTGTAAGCGATACGCCAGGCGTCCGACGCGTTCAATGACACGGCACTTGATATGTCGCTGGGTAAGTTTCCTTGTGATGTTGCGCGATGGCCATACATAACCCGGCTCAGTCCCTTGCGCAAGACGTAAGTATACGAAGTCACTCTTCTGGAAAAAGATAGGCTTGTGACGGCTATCGTATTGCTTCTTCATCACCATAGCCGCGTACTTGGCACATTCGTCGGCGTCCTGTCGGCTCGCTTGGGGAGATCCGACGAAAGCCTGACGGAGGAGATTCCACGGCATACGTAGATCGACACCGAACATAAGCTTGTGTGGTGGGTCGCCAGTGGATACATTGACTGAGGCATTCAGTGAGGCTTGCATTGGCGCGAGACCTTCGTCCCAATCCGCTTCCTGGTGGATATTCTGCCAGTGGCGTAGCCAGATTTCGCCTGTTTGGTTCGAACGTTCCGATTGGCCGTCCGCCTGTGGGTTATACGCCGCCTTATATAGGAGCTCAGTGCGTAGGGCAGTAAATATACCCTTCCAGAAGCCTTGAACAAAGCGCTTGTCCCGGTCGGAGATCCACACCACGGGGATCCCCAGTCGCCCTTCTAGAGGTCACGGAGGACCGCGATAGCCCATTCTTCACCGCTCCAGGTCTTCTTTCCGGGCGTCGAACCGATACGCTTTGTGGATTTACATGTGTAGATTGCCACCGCATCGAAACCCTTGTTCGTGCGTGGCAGGCCGGTAACAAAGTCAATTGTCAGCGTATGAAACGGGATCGGTGGCGCGAGAATCGGCTGAAGTGATCCGTATGGTTTGTGACGATGTACTGCGTTTTTCTTGCACTCGTCACACTGGTCGATATACACCCGGAGCTTTTTTGCTCCCTTGTGTATGACAAAGCCTCGCATCTTCTGCCAGGCGCGATGGAAACCGAGGTGTCCGTCACCGTGTGCCATTTCGAAGATATCATCTTTGATCGCCTCAGGAATACACAGCCACCGGTCGCCGTCGGCCTGCGTTGAATACAGCAAGCCGTCGTCGGTTTCGTAGGATAAGTACGCTGCTTAATAATACGTATGTCATCATCCATCCCTCACAGCTTGAGTTTTCGGGTTTACATTTGACCAATCCGTTTTGCACATGTTGATAGCATTCTTGGGAGTGAATTGTTTGTGCTGGACATCTGAGAATCTTCCTTGCCTGACACATAACCAACAAAGCTACAATGAAATCACTCCATGCCATCTATCTTCTTTGCGCCCTAACTAAAATCGAGGCTGTTCAAGAAATCCTGCACAGGTGACGTCATCTCGCACAGGATACCCGATTAGGCGTAGCGCAGCCCAAACCCAACCTATGAAAGACCCTCAATGCGGGCTAAGTCAATGGCTTATTTTACATTCTATGCATCGTTCTAACCAATTCATGCAGCTAGAATTATACGAGGCTGAGCTTGCTCTATTCCCACTTTCAGACTTAAAAATATGTTGGCCCCGCGAGACGCTTAGAAGGACCAGCTTATTATCTGACACTCAACCACAATGGCCGATGAAAAGAGGCAACATCCCCTCGAGAATTTGGGACGTTCTGATGAGAGAGAGGCAGCAGATCACCTTCCAGTATATACAGCAGGGCCAACGTACCCAGCAGGGCCCTCTATACAACCAAGCCGATCACCACCAGTACAAGAAACCCCTTTTGAAGCAAACCGCAAACCAATCGCAATTCCAGCCCTCACCTCCTCCTCTGACTCTCCATTCATTCGCGCATATCCACCCATTCTAATGAACTTCCAACTCCCCAAGGAATCCTTCTTCGGCTTCCTCGACCAACTGAACAAAGACATAGCCGCCAGTCCACCCCTTCAAGTCCTGGATGCAACAGGCGGGATCCTGAAGTCCGTCCCGATCCTATTCCCGCTGCACTGGATTGGGAACGCTTTCAGCAGACTCGCAACCCTAAGCAGCCAAGGCATGTCCAAAAGCCGGACAGACTCCTCCATCAAACAAGCTAATAGGGACATTTTCGGTCCGCGCGGCTTGAGAGTTGAAATTGCGAAGCTGGATGCGCTGGCACATGTCGCGAATTTCCCCATGTTAGATTCTCAGGGCAAGATCAATCGGCTGGCGCCTCTGTTTCAACAACTCCAGTACGAGGCATCCATGGCCAACGCTAGGGCTGATGAACGGCAACAGCAGGAACTTGATTTCCAGCAGAGGATTAGAACTTTACAGCCCTGGATTGCCGAGCTTGAGTTTGAGGTTTTGCCTTGGTCTTCTAAGTCTAAGTTGACGCGGTTCAACGCCTCGTTGAAGAAGCATAATGATCCAATGAATGAGGAGAGAGGGGGCATGGGCAGGCGAGGCCAGGTTCTCGTTCAAGAGACCAAACAGGAAGATGCTCCATTTAAAAAAGCTCTGTGGCTTGTGATTCGCGAGGCTGAGACGGATGAAAGGCGTCAGTTGCCTTAATCATATTCTGGACTCGATGAGGAATTCCTCATCGACGATGATGTGTCCAACGCAGAGATAGTAAGCTACGAACAGCCGGTAACATTGGCTGGCCATGACAAGGGCCAACGAAGAATTCTGTTTGTTAACTAGCAAGACATTGGATTCGTAAAGTTTCAGTGAACATACCAGAACTTTACGCGATATATCTGTATCCAATTCCAAATAGGGGTGAGAAAAACCAAGTTGGTCAAAGGAGAGATCAATGTTCCAAGGTCATTGTATGCACCAGTCAACATGAAAATATTGACAGTACACCACCTATGTTAATAAACATTGAACTGAAGCTTCCCAGGTTCAATCTTTTGAATACTCGACTCCCGAGTTCAATGAAACAGGGAATTCGTGCAAAGAAGACCCTTTTTGTGCATGGTATTCGTAGATCCGCCTAGGCCACCGCCCTACCCGGAAACCAAGAAGACACGCAACGTTCTGGTGTCAACCACCCTTCACATCTCCATTCCTTTCTCATAGTTTTCTTGGCCACATTTGTTGGGTGTCATGCTTATTTGGTGATTCTAGTGAGCTTACTTTGACATTATTTTGCGGTCTTTTTCTGCTTTGTTGATGTTTACTGACAACCCCGGTAGTCTATTTGGCTATAGGTAGTTTCTCGGTCGCTCTCTACATTTCATATTCTCAAGATGTCGTCACCTTCGCCCTCTCTGCGGAAGAGAGGCGGAAAGAAGGATGTTCACACCGCACTGCCCTCTGATATTGCCTCGACTCCTGTGTCGGTGCCAGTCAAACAAAAGTCGGAATGGGACTATTGGCTGGCCATAGTGATTCTCACCATTCTGGCTTTTGTGACACGTTTCTACCGCCTCGATTACCCTAACGAGGTTGTCTTCGATGAGGTTCATTTCGGCAAGGTACGACATTCAATGCCTTTGGTGGTGGCACAATCGCTACCAAAAAGGGGCGCCTTTTGACTAACATCAACAACTCTTGGCTAGTTCGCTTCTTACTACCTTCAACGTACCTATTTCTTCGATGTGCACCCACCTTTTGGAAAGCTGTTGTTTGCCCTTGTGGGTTGGCTTGTGGGCTTCGATGGAGGTTTCCTATTCGAGAACATCGGTGACTCTTACATCGAAAACAATGTGCCCTACCTCTCCCTCCGTGCCATGCCGGCTACTCTCGGCGCCTTGACAATTCCAGTGGTGTTCCTCATCATGTGGGAGTCTGGCTACTCTCTGCCAGCTTGTGTGCTGTCTGCCGGTCTGATGGTGTTTGACAACGCCCATGTGGGCGAGGATCGTCTGATCCTTTTGGACGCAACCCTCGTGCTGTCAATGGCGCTCAGCGTTTTGTGCTACGTCCGTTTCTATAAATTGCGTCACCAACCGTTCAGCCGGAAGTGGTGGAAGTGGCTTCTCCTGACTGGCTTCTGCATGAGCTGTGTCATCTCCACCAAATACGTCGGTTTCTTTACCTTTGTGACCATCGGTGCGGCAGTCCTCATTGACTTGTGGAACCTCTTGGATATCAACCGCGAGCAGGGAGCGCTGAGCATGATCGATTGGGGCAAGCACTTTTTTGCTCGCGCTGTTGGATTGGTTATTATCCCCTTCATGTTCTACCTGTTCTGGTTCCAAGTCCACTTTGCTATTCTCAATCGGTCTGGCCCCGGAGACGACTTTATGACTCCCGAGTTCCAGGAGACTCTTAGCGACAACCAGATGACCGCTCAGTCCGTGAGCATTCAATACTTCGACACCATTACCATGCGCCACAAGGACACCAAGGTTTTCCTCCACAGCCACTGGGACAAATACCCCTTGCGCTATGACGATGGCCGTATTTCCAGCCAGGGCCAGCAAGTCACTGGTTATCCCCACAACGACACTAACAACCAGTGGCAGATCCTGCCGGGCGAGCCTCTGGTTGACCCATCTCAGCCCGCTAGCGTGCGCAACGGCGACATTATCCAGCTCCGCCATGTTGGAACTGAGAGTTATCTCCTGACTCACGATGTTGCGTCTCCTTTCTTCCCCACCAACCAAGAGTTCACTACAGTCTCTCAAGAACTGGCTGATGGCGAGCGCCACAACGACACCCTCTTCGAGCTCAAGATTGAGTCGGGCAAGGCTGCCCAGGAGTTCCGTACTCTTGCCAGCTTGTTCAAGTTGGTCCACGTTCCGACTCGAGTCGCTTTGTGGACACACACAACTCCGCTGCCAGAGTGGGGTTACAAGCAGGCCGAAATCAACGGTAACAAGAATATCCTCCAGTCCAGCAACGCGTGGTACGTTGAGAACATTGAGAACTTGGAGGAGGATAGCCCTCGTCTTGTCAAGGAGGAGCGCAAGGTCAAGACGCTGCCTTTCCTCCGCAAGTACTTGGAGCTGCAGGGTGCCATGTTCCACCACAACAACGCTCTGACCAGCAGCCACCCCTATGCCACCGAGCCCTTCCAGTGGCCCTTCCTGTTGCGGGGTGTGAGTTTCTGGACTAAGAACGATACTCGTGAGCAGATCTACTTCTTGGGGAATCCCATTGGATGGTGGATTGCCAGCAGTATTCTTGCCGTGTTTGCGGGCATTGTTGGTGCTGATCAGCTCTCTCTTCGCCGTGGTGTTGATGCATTGGAAGAAAGTAAGTCGAACAACAGAATATCCAACTCTTTTCCCGTCCTTTTACGATGGTTATTAACACACATTCACCAGTTTGGGGTCCCGGTACGCGCTCGCGTCTGTACAACAGCACCGGGTTCTTGTTCTTATGCTGGGCTGCACACTACTTCCCCTTCTGGCTGATGGGTCGCCAGCGCTTCCTGCATCACTACCTACCCTCACACCTGGCCTCCACCATGGTATGTGGCGCACTGGTTGAATTCATTTTCAACCTGCAGCCGCTTGATCCCCGCACTGCACTTCCCCCTGTGGATGACCCCTCGGGCAAGTCCAAGGCGCGGTCGGTCAGCAGCCTGCGCCGGTTTATCACGGCCAAGGAACGTATGGGTTGCAAGTCTCTCATCGCGGGTTGGATTGCCACCCTTGTCATTCTGGCTGCCACCATCTCGGGCTTCATTTTCTATGCGCCCTTGACCTACGGTACTCCCGGCCTCGATGTGGCGGGTGTCAATGCGCGCAAGTGGCTCAACTACGATCTGCACTTTGCCAAATAAGCCCCTCGGTGGGCTCCTTGGTCCAATTCCTAGAGGATTCATTTCAAGTCGAGGGGCCGAACTGAAATTGCCCAGTCACAACTTTTGTACGATAACTTATACTCTGTGATAAAAGGCGGGTGAGAAGGTGGTTTTGTGCGATTGGAAAGATGATGGAGTATCGATATCAGCCTTTGGTACCTTGTGAAACCATCATGTATGGTGCACGTATGTGCCGTCATTCGAGTTCTCTTTCTCTTCGTCCCATCCCGATGTAGTACATCTTCCGTATCCATCAAAATTTGTCAGTCGAGTCCTGTATCACTATTGGTGGTACCGGGTTATCCGATCGTGCCAAGTAGCCTATACATCCAAGGCTGTTGTAGGATTCAATTGGAGTAGAGATGGATGTGGACAGGTGCATAGGAGATGCGAGACGAATATGCCAACGTTGATCGGGATCGGCTTCACGTGATTTACGATCGGTAACATGTGCGTAATACACTGGAGCAGATGGGATTTCATTCCATCTACGGAGTACGGAGTACTTCACCTAGTCCTCTTTAAATTTTTTTTTTAAAAAAATCTGGGCTTTGTCTTAAGATTATATGTTGTTTCCTACCCCTAGGTACATATGTCCAGACCCAACGCTTTACATTTCAACATTCCAACTGATTTTTGCCTTCTGTATTTTTTATTTTTAGACGGCCAAAAAAAAAAAAAAAAACCAAGCCCACTGTTGATTTACATAGGGAGTTTTCATCCGTATACTTTACTATGTATAGTAAAGGGTTTCACATTGACCTCTGAGATCATGAAAGTGCCCAAGTTCCCCAAAGTTTAGGGGAAAATAACCAAAAAAAAAGACCTACCAAAAATTAGAATATCAATCCTCAGAGTACACAAAGTACTCAGCCCATTTCTGGACGGATACCAAAGGGACTAGGCTGTCAGTAGCGTCTTCTCTTTTTGCCTCTTCGACACATTCTCTCTCTCTTCTCTTTTCTTTTTTTTTCATTCTTTACTCCCCTTGGTGGTTTCTAGGGTCTTATTTTCAGGGTCTCTCCACTCCCCCCGTCTCCAGTTCTTATTGGTGTTTACTTTGAGAGAACTGAAACGGACATTTCCGCGTCTCACCCGACACCTATGGTGGGTTCAATTCTTTCCAGGAAAAAAAAACGCACATATTCGAGGGCCTGCAAGGAATTCGGGAATAATAATTCAACTTGTTGTGAGATGCCATCAGATCGGACAGACGCAAGACAACCCACTCTGTGGATTCCTGCCGGGCCTTTGATCGGCCGCTAGATAAACCCGTGTCGTGCTTCGTTTCACCCTGGAAGCTTCTGACTGACTTCAATTCTTACTCAGCTTAACCCCTAAGCTCTTCAAAGTTGCTTTGTTAATCTTCGGTCAATCGTTATACCTATCTATTTGGACTGATCGCTTCTTCGGCATCACTTACAGTCGACACATCACCCTCAAAAGACGACCCCTTCCCCCCAATAGGATCGTCCAAACCTTAATGAGAGAGCGGCTTCGCAAAAAAAACGCACCTGGCCGGTTATTCAAATACCTGCGTGATCTGTCAAAACAGCCACTTCCAGGCCAATGAAACTACCTAAGAGCTTTACCAGGCGGAAATCGTCCGGCAACGTTATGGAAGACGTGGAACCCCCTCACCAATCCTCCTTCCGCGTCTTTGAGCGCCCGGGGCCTCATCGGTCCACGACGAGTGGAGAGGGACTGACCAAGCCGCTGAGTGAGGGTCAAACAGTGCCGTCGATGGAGGATTCCGATAACATCTTTGCAGAGAGGGAGCGACCCCTGGACAAGAGCCGGTACGATCGCCCTTCGACCATGGATTCTCTCAGGAGACGGCTGACTGGGAACCGCGATAGTGGCAACTACGAAAGTTCTACGTCAACCAGGCTAAGCTCGTCATCCACCCTTCCATCATCAACTGAAGTCCCGCCGCCCGACGAGACCCAATCCCCGCATGCCAGAATCCTTGATGTTCCACCTCCACCACCGCTTACAAGTGCGCTGCGCGCCGCAGGACGGACTTTCTCATTCGGTGGTCGATTCAGCAGGTCAGGACCACAGGTTCCTCGGCAACAAACACCAGATGCCGCAAAGAATCGCCCTGTGACAGGGAACACCGACAGCACAGCCACTCCACCCAAGCTGCCCGATACAGATTTCGCGCTTAGCTCGCAGGATGATTTCAATAAGATGTTTGAGAATCTGGGAGCACAGGGCTCAGCAATCCGGGGATCATCCCCTAACCCGGCAAAGGTAAGACCTGCAATCGCTAGTCCAGACAAGGATGCAATACTTACAGTACCGCAGTACTCCTCGGCTCCCCCGACGCATGTTCTTTCCGACTTTCAAAGCAGTAGAGCTGCAGCCCCCGCTGCGATTAATACAGATCGATCGACTGCTGTCGAGTCACCCCCTTACTCCTGGGATCGTCGCCCGTCCGAGGAGGGCTTGCTACGTGGCCCGCAATCTCCCCCGCTGAATCAGAGCCAGTCTACCCTCGATACAGTCGTTGTTTCCCGGAAACTTTCGCCGTCTCCCAATCACTTCACCGAAGCCACCACTTCACACCGTTCCTTAGAGCGCCCCCGAGGATCGGATAGAGGAACACTGCGGAGGAGTGGGATATATTCGGCCAAGGGGGAATCCGCACCCTTTGATGACGAAGATGCCAATATGGTCCGAAAGTCTGTCATTTATGGCAAAGAAAGTACTTCGCCGTGGGCTGAGGGCAGCCCCTCTGGTGGAGCCTCGTTGATTGATAAGGGCAAAGCACCCAATTACTCTGGCCAGGTGAACTCGGAATCTGACGACATGTTTCAATACCGCCGTTCGCCTGCTCCAGCTGACAGATTGGACCCCTCCTTTGCGGATCACGCGCGGTTGGCTGTGCAATACGCGGATAGTCTCCCCAAGTCATCTTCTCCGGGTAACAAGGTGATGACTCCATCTCAGTTCGAGCACTATCGCCAGCAACAAGAACTCCTACGTTCCAATAGCAATGCGACTAAGAGCGATGACGAGTCTGATCACGAAGATTTTGACGATGAACAAGATGAGGTGGAGAAGCAACGTGAGACGGAACGTCAACGACGAAAGCAGGAGGCTCATCTCTCTGTGTATCGCCAGCAAATGATGAAGATCACAGGTCAACAAACACCCGTGCAATCGCATCGCCCGGTCATGAGTGGGGCTAGCAACAGCACGCCCAATTTGCACCCCAGTCGCCTGTCGGTACTAGGCGAGAAGTCGAACAGTGGGAAGAGTACAGAGGAGGAGGATGATGATGTGCCGCTTGGTATTCTGGCAGCGCACGGTTTCCCCAGTCAGAACCGCCCACCAACCCGCCTGAACAATGTCAGTTCCAACCCCAACCTTCGTGCATCCATGCAACCGTCGTATATATCATCGTCCAACTCTGTTTCGGGTGCCGATCCGAACGCCAGCCGGGGTAGTCTGCCACCTTTTGCAAGGAACTTACCGCGAGACCCTTACTTCGGTGCAGGTCTGGTTAACACCACCAACCGCGAATCCTTGGCGTTCGGAGGTGGTTCGACATATGGAGGATCTTCGTCCCCCGCACCTCCCCCTGGAGGTCTTGTTGGTGTCATAGCAAATGAGGAGCGGGCACGGGCAATGCGCAGAGGAAGCCCAAACACACAAGCAATGCACGAGATGGCAGGAGTACCTCGGCCGTATTCGATGATGCCCCCGCCGCCGCCGCAGCAGAACGTTACCGCCGGAGAGCAAGCTTCTATCCAGCTATCGCAGCAGATGGCCACCATGATGCAGATGCAAATGCAGTGGATGCAGCAAATGATGCAAGCGCAAGGTGGGCAGGGTCAACCAATGATGCAAGGCATGCCAATGCCTTCTATGATGATGCCTGGTGGAGCGATGGCCATGCCTCCAATGGGTTCTCCTTCTATAGCAGGACCCCAGTCCGTGGCTGGCAACCTGAGCTTCCGGCCGACGTCCCTGCCTGCAACATCTGTTCTCAATGCCCCACCCTCGCTCCCACACATTGATCAGCGTACGATGAGCATGCTGGACCCCAACATCTCAACCCGTAGGACTTGCTCACCCATGCCAAATCTATCAGGCACCCCCTTCCGCCCCAGCACCGGATATGCTGCTTCAATCGCTCCGTCCGAGCGTAGCACCGTCGGCCTGGCGCCTCGTTACCGGCCGGTATCAACCATGCAGTCCGAATCCAACTACGCGGTGGCATCGTCAAACAAGCCTTTTGGTGATGAAAACAACAACCCGTCCATGCCAATGCTTCAGTCTCATATTCCAAAATCGCATCTTGCCACTGTGACCGTCCGCCCCGTTTCGCAGAGTACTGGTGTTGAAAATCAAAAGCCCGGTTCCGAGGATGAAGAGGACGACGATGAGGCCTGGGCTGACATGGTGAAGAAACGCGAGAAGAAGAAGAGCAGCTGGAAGATGAAGCGAGGGACGTCTTCGTTCGGAGATCTGCTGAGCGCTGTGCACTAAATTCTTAGCTCTGTCTGCTTCTTCTTCCTTCCTTCCTTCCTTCTTCCTCGGCTTGACCATGAAAGCGTGCTTGCATTGCATCTGAAAAGAAACATGTCCACATTATGCTGTATAGCCTGGTTCTTTCTTTACTGCATTTCCTTTTCCGCTTCGATTTCCTATATCCCCCGCTCCCTCTACGACATGACATATGACGCACATACCATCAACTCAGAGAAGGGCTTGCCGTGCCAATTGGATATGTCGGCTCGATAATGCATCCCTAGCCCTTATCTCACATCTTGTATGTCACTTCTCGTTTCCTGTTCCGGGTTTCTTTGCCTCCTCGTGTTCAAGGTCATTCCGGTCTGGACAGAGGGGCTCGACATTTACAAGTATGAATACATATGCTTTCCTTGTGCTTTGACTTTGAGTCAATCTTTGATTTTTCAGTCCAGTCCTCTGTTTTTCTTTCTCTTGCTTTCTCATGATATCGGCGCGGGAAGAGACATGGCGTTATTTACTTGATAGGTTCTTCTATCTTTTTTTTTTCCTTTCATCCTTTATTGTGTCTTTGTGTGTTGCATTGTGTTCTTGCCAGATCGCTCTGCTTCTACTCGACTCCTTTAATACATTCCAGGCCTTGTGGCCGTTATTGCGGCTCTTCCCAAGGTTCTTTCTCTCTTTCGCTATTTCCTTTGTTTGCGTTTTGTGTTTCCTGCTTGAACAGAGGTGCATGTATACCTTAGCATGCCACAGATCTGGGTTGAGACGGGGGTTCCCCATACACCACCGCTAATATATGTTACATAAGATCATGGTTTTGTAACCTACAAAGCTACTTGGTACGAATGGCGTGCAACCATGACTTTGGCGCTAAGGGCTTCCGCTTCCTACATTGCAATCCACTGGATGAAAAATCGTAGGGAAAAAACTATGTATGTCTATCTGTGCACTGCCTGCTAGACCGACTTCAGTCCACATAAACTATGTGGTATTAGAAACCGAGGGATCGCGTTCTACCTCCTAACGGGCAATTGGTGTTGTACGTAACCATTATTAGAAGCATCCCCACAAACAAAGTCTTTCTAAAGTGAGACGACGATGAAAGTAACCGCCGGCAACTGGTCCAAAGCACATAGATCAGAAAAGGGTCACGTGACAAGGCACTCAAAAATAATCAGTCACATGATCCAAATCGATATCGACGTTGAGATGCAGCACAATATCTTCATCACTCAACGTCAACATCGAGCAAACAGACCTTTGCAAAACCAGGGCCCCAATAACCTTCTGGGATGTACTGGCTCGTTGGATTTATCTCTTTGAACTCATTTGCTATCAATAAGCACCCTTAAAAGCGTATTCCGAAGGCACACGCATCTGATCGCTGTTGTCTTAACAAATCAAAACGAGCTGGTCACCTATAAAAGGCCTTGAAATTACGTCCAGCCTTTGATTTGTTACCAACCTCTTTCTTCTGCAACCCCTCGAACTCTTGGATACATACATAAAAGCATATCCTCGAGACAGGTGTCTTGCCTTCAAACCCTTTGGCTTTTTCAAAGAAGTTATTTCGCCACCATGAATGCTCCGGATAGGTGAGTGGATGCCAGCATTTCTTAAATCTCTCAAATTCTGTTTATTTGGAGCTGCTCCTATGAAATTCGTTGTGCGTTGAATGCTGGATCTCGAATTCGGTTGAATGTCATGTGCACCACAGAACATATTCCCCCGGATTCCGGGGTAAACGCGCCTTCCTATTTCCATAATTTGCAACATGGGAAGGCGGGAAGGATATAGAGAGTGGTGATCGCGCTTTCCTCGCACCGTTGCTCCTGCCATGGGGAGCATTGCATCATGTCTACTTATCCCCCCTCCCTCTCACTGTCTTTTTCCCTGTCACTCTCTTGTTCACTCGTGGACTGTCATCTTGCTGTGCACTGTCATCTTCTTTTTCACCGTTCATCACCTTTTTTTTATCTCTACTTTGTGCAGTCATGCCTCAGAGCCCTGCCATTGTCACGGCCACTGCGGCCATCGCCAGAGAGCGTGCTGGTCGCCGCGGCCAAGGCCCCCATCCGCGCCATCCTCGCCCTTTGCTTCCTGATGATGCACCTGACGTGTCAGTTGAATCAAATCACGGATTCAATCTCCTATTTCCCTTCTTTCTGTCCTTCTTCTGCTGCATTTTCAAAATTTCTTTTCTTAAATCCGAGGAAACCTTCAGCTGATCAGGTTATCATTATAGGTATGAAGCTATCCTGCTCGCTCCTGGTGAAAGCAAGATTGACGTTGAGATCGATACCCGTAAGTTATGCTGGTCAATAGAGATCGCATAATCTTACTGACTGTATTTCTTCAGGCCTCCCTTCTGCTGCCATATTTACTTTCCGCAAAGAAGACCACACCCTTGGCAACATGCTGCGCCACCGTCTGTTGAAGACCGCTCATGTGATTTTTGCTGCCTATCGCGTAAGCAACCTGCTACATGCTCATTGTTTTCCATTTTGGAAATATTCTAACAAGACCCATTAGGTCCCCCACCCGCTGACCCCCGAGTTCCAGCTGCGTATCCAGACTGACGGCGAGGTCACCCCCCGCCAGGCGGTCATCAACGCCTCCGAGGCTCTGATCAAGGACCTCGGCATCTTGTCTCGGGAATTCACTAAGGAGTACGAACTCCGCAAGGCTGCCAACGCCGCTAACCAGCAACAGCAGAACACTGCTGAGTAAATGGTTATCAGTGACATCAAGCCTTCAATTTTATCTTCTTTTAGTAGGTCTGCAAATCTGGCGCATGGAGCAGTCGTGGTCTTTTAATGCCTTGCTTTTTTTTTCATTTTCGATTTTGACATTTATGGGAGGCCCCTTTTTTCGCGGGCCCATTTCATTTTTGCTTTCTACTGCTTTTGAGAGACTCAGCTATACCATGCTAGCTGACACTGACAACTTTCGAGCTCTAAGCTCCAAATCATCACTTTTATCCATCAATTAGTAGTTCGAGTTGTAGATCCAAAAATATCTCGGACAAATGACTAAGCACCAAATGGCCTCGCCCCTTAGCGCACGTCCGCGTTTGGCAACGGCGTCATTCGCATCCTCCTGAGATTTAAGTTCTTTGCTATTTTACATTCGTTCTTCTCGTCAAACCCTTGTTGGCCTTTCTGCATATCCTTTGCTCATGCGAGCGTGGTTTCTGTGATGTACTCCTCGTCGAATAATTTCCTCGGGGGTGCCGGTCCCGGCCAGGCACCATTCATGCAACAGCAACAACAACCCCCCTATTCGCAATTCTCTCAAGGCCAGCAGCTGCCATCAATTCAACAACCTCAGCCCACTGGATTTGCTCCGCAGCCTACTGGTATTGCTCCACAGCCGACCGGATTCGCCGGGCAGCCCTCCCCGTTCGGCAACTCGCAGCTACTGCCTCAAGCCACCGGATTCCCCGCGGGACAGCTACAGCCGCAGTTTACTGGCTTCCCCGGCACCGTGCCCCAGCAACCCCAGCAGCAACAAGCGCAAAACTTCCAACCCCAATTCACCGGATATCCTCCCCAGAACCAGGCGCAGCAGCCGCCTCCGGTGCCGCAGATACCAACACGATTCAAGACCTCAAGCGATATCGCGAACTCCTTCCAAGATGTTGCTGGCTCTGGGACCCCTCCTCAGGTACCACCAAAGACAGGATCAAAGATCCCAAACATTCGGCTTTCCTTTATAACGGCGCAGGATCAGGCGAGGTTCGAGCAGCTTTTTAAGGCAGCGGTTGGCGATAGCAAGACAATGAATGGTGGGTTTCTATACACCCAATGGGCTACGTGTAATGGCTTGTATAGCAGTACTAACCGGTCATAATAGGCGACAAAGCAAAAGATCTTTTGCTGCGCTCCAAATTGACAGGCGCTGATCTTTCTAAAATCTGGGTCTTGTCTGACACCACAAAATCCGGACAGTTGTTCTTCCCCGAGTTTGCTTTGGCCATGTACCTTTGCAACATTCGTCTCACTGGCCGCGAGCTTCCTTCTGCCCTACCCGAGACAGTCAAGAACGAGGTTTCTAGTATGGTCGACATCATCTCGTTCGATGTCCCCGACACACAGCCGGCGCCGGTTCAGCGAACCAACGTGCCCAGCTTCGATGCTCCTTTCATGGAGAACAAGTCGACGCCTCCAATCGTTCAACAGCCCGTCCCGCAGCAACCGAATAACGCCCAGCTCCTGTCACAGCTGACAGCACAACCTACTGGTTTCTTCCCTCAACAGACAGGTATCCAGCCCAACCCGACGGGCTTCCCAGGCCAGAACCAGTCCCAATTCCTTCAGTCGCAACAGACCGGGTTCATGACCAATCCGCAGGCTACTGGATATGCAGGCCCTCGGCCTCCAATGCCGCCGATGCCTACTGGTTACGGGTCGAACCTTAGCCCCGCCCAGACCGGTGGAATACAAGGTCTGAGTGTGCAGCCTACGGGATTGGTGGCGCAACCTACGGGTATCCCCGGACAATGGGGATTTATCAACACACCGGCGCAGGGTTTGCCCAATATCGATGCTATGAAGCAGCAACTCATGCCGCAGCCTGGGCGTGAAGGTGGCTTTAGTGCTGTTGGCCTTTCAGGAAATGCTAAAGTTGCCTGGGCAATTACCAAGGAGGAAAAGAAGATTTACGATGATCTTTTCCGCGCATGGGACGGTTTCCGCAAGGGCTTCATTACTGGCGAGACTGCCATCGAGATCATGGGTCAAAGTGGTCTGAATAGAAAAGACCTGGAACGAATCTGGACCCTGGCTGATCCTCATAACCGTGGCCGACTGAACATGGATGAGTTCGCTGTGGCTATGCACCTGATCTACCGTGCCCTGAACGGATACCCAGTTCCAAGCCGTCTACCACCCGAGCTTGTTCCTCCTTCTACAAGACACTTAAACGATTCAATCGGTACAGTCAAGTCTCTTCTCTCCCAGGATGCTGAGACTCGTAAAGCTACTGGGGCATTCCTGCAGCCGCAGAAGACTGGTGTCAGCTACCTCAAAGATCACTCTTTCCGTGGTGGTGCAGCAGGCTCTGCTGAGGCCAACAGAAAGGATGCTACGGTGTTCAAGAACAATGACTCCGCTGGTGGATACCGCTCTAGTGCTCGCCGTCGTGTTGCTAATGGGGCTCGTACTCCGTCACCAGCCGCCTCTGGCGCGTCAGAGGAGGAGTATTCCGTGGAACAGTTGCGGAAGAAGATCCGTGAAGCCAAAGTCATGATTGACGCTGCCGACTTTCAAGACGAGAACCGGGCCGAGGATGACGATGCTCTAGATCGCCAGGATCGCCGCGAGGCAGAGGCTCTGATGGACCGTATCCGTCGTGTACAGGACGATATCGATACCCACCCCAATGCCTCATTCCGTCAAGTGGACAGTGGGGCAGATCGCAGAGCTCTTCGTCGCCAGTTACAGTCTTTTGAAGATCAAGTGCCTCAGGTTGCATCTGATGTACGTCGTATTGAGCGTGAGATCGCGGATGCGAAGCTTGAGCTCTTTCGTCTCAAGGATGCCAGAGCACACCCCGGTGGTGCCTCTAACATCGTCGGCACTGGCCCTGGCGGTACTGTGACCGAAGCAGATCGAATTAAGGCCCGCGCACGTGCGCGCATGCAAGCTCGGGCTGCGGAGCTCTCCGGCCGCCCCGCGCCCGTGACGGAAGATGACGATGGCCAAGCGGCTCGTCGTCTGGAGTCCGAGAGCACTAACGTGAAGATTGAGCGGGAGCGCAACGAGACCATGACTCACGATGTTGAGGAAAGTGTGCGTGATTTCGCTCGCAGTTTGGAGGATAGTCTTCGGGACCAAGGCCAAAATTCCACACGTGAGCACGAAAAGCGTCGTTGGGAAGATGCATTAGGGGTTGAGGACGTCATCCGCGACTTTATCTACGACCTGAGTCGTAACGCGCGAACTGCAAATGTTCGCAAAGAAGAGTAAGTTTTTCTTGTCAATCAGGAGAGCTGTTCAATGCTGACAATTCCTAGGCGAGAGAGATCTTTCTCTGGGGTGCAGTCTCGGGAATCTCCAACGGCTGAATCTGCTCCTGCTCGCCCGTCGATGCCCCAGTCCGTGGACTCATCAAGCTCTCTTACTGGTAATACACATGAGGATCGTGTGGCGGCTGCTCGAGAGCGTGCGCAGAAGCGCATTGCTGAGCGCATGGCTGCTGCTGGTTTGAAGCCCAACGACTCCAGTGAAACTCTTGTGCAACGCCAGGAACGCGAGAGGAAGGAGCGCGAAGACCGTGTTAGACGCGCCGAAGAAGAAGATGCTAAGCGGGAACAAGAAAGACAGCGTCGCCTAGCTGAGGAACGGGGTGTGCCTAGTGATGCAGCTTCGAAGACTGCGGGCAAGAAACCACCGCCAGCGCCGCCCACCCGCAGGGCTCGGGCGGATAGTGCCGGCCAAGCCGATGGCAAGAGGGAAGATGAGTTCACTAAAATGGATCAGGCTGCCCGTGAGCAGGCCATCAAGGAAAAGCAAGAAGTTCAGGAGGCGGAGACCAAGCGTCTAGAGTGAGTAATCTACTGCTGACAAAGAGAAAATAATTGGAGTTGGCTAATACATTTACAGGGGCGAGGCCAGTCAACGCGAGCTGGAATTCCAACAGGAAAAGGATGCCCAAGCCGCTCGCCTTCGTGCACTTGAGGAACAAGTCCGCCAGGGCAAGATCAAGAAGCAGGAAGAGAAACGCCGTAGGGAAGAAGCTAGTCGCAAATCCAAAGAACAGGAAGCTATTCTTGCAGCTCAACGTGTCGAATTGGAGGCGGCCAAGGAACGTGAGCGACAGCTGCAGCGTGAACTCGAGGGACTTGACGAGCCATCGTCCGATGACGAAGGCCCTGCCGATATTACGCCTCAGTACAGCACCCCGACGCAGAGCCAAATTCTCCCCACCTCGCCTCCCGTGCCCACAATAGCTATCCCTGAACCTCCCGCCCCCGAAAGCGTGCCTAGCGAAGTGGTCTCCCTTGAAAGCAGCCGTGGTGTTCCTGCCGCCACGCTCGATGCTGAGTCCAAGAATCCATACTTCAAGATATTGGGACAGCCATCCGACCCCACCCAAGCGACCTCGCCGTCTGCCACTGCTCAGTCTACGAATCCTTTCCACCGCTTGACGCAGCAAGAGCCCATCAAATCCACCTTCACCGGGGCAGCTCCCCTGGAACGCAAGACTCGAGCCCGCCCCGAGGAAGACGATGACTGGTCCGCTGCCGGCTCCGAGTTTGATTCGTCTGATGATGAAGACGACCGTCCAACCGGCGGTAGCGCTAAACAACTTGCCAGCATCCTGTTTGGCACGATGGCGCCCCCACGTCCTCTGAGTGCTATGGGCGAAGACAGGTCTGCCTCGAAATCCGCAACCCCGGTACAAGGAAGCCCTATTGCACCTCCGCCCCCACCCCCAGCAACTCTGCCTCCTCTTCCTGCTGTACCAGGCTCTGGCGAAACTATCTCCCCATCACTCGCGCCATCTGCTGTACCTCCTCCTCCACCTCCTCCTCCCCCAGGAGCCGGTGCTCTTCCAGTTCCTCCGCCACCCCCTCCAGCTGGCATCCCACCTCCACCTGCTCCCCCAGCCGTGGCCGGTGGCGCTGTCGGCCGAGGCGCCCTCCTCGCGTCTATCCAGCAAGGTATGACCCTGAGGAAGACTCAAGTGAATGACCGCAGTACAAGCTCGTCGGCTGGACGCGTGCTGTGAAGATGAAATTGGAGGGTCTTTTTTTGGAATTTTTGTTTTGAGAGTACATACTGTACAGATGCAGAGAGGCGGGGAAAGATATGACCATGCCCGTTCTTACCTGATTCGAGGGTAAATTGACGAGGTCTATGGATAATAGGAGAAGTGGTTCGCGAGTAGTTAGCTGTGTTTCTGTACTTGTCTTGAAATACCGATCGGCTTTGTTTATTAACATCATTACCCCCGGACTTGACGGACTTAACCGAAAATTGCAGGGCTTCATCTACTGCTCCTCCCTCATTCTAGAGCTTCGAAGGTTCACTTGAAGCCGAGAGGGTAAATCCCCATCGAGCGCTTTTCGACCGTAAGTTAAAGCATTATCAGCTATCTGTTTTGGGATTATTAAATTAGTGCAGAAGTTACTTCCTCCAGCTGAAAAAGAGATGCGATTGCGTTAGATCCCCTGGCGATGGCGACGCGCAATCCCTGCTCCGTCGGTACTCCGTATATTAGACTGTTGTCTACTCCGTATGTTCAGTAGATAGTGCCTTACGAACATTTTGCTTTCCAATCTACTAAATTGACTCCGTACTGACGTAGCCGATTGATTAGTTTTCCAGAATAATAGATCGTGGGAATCTACGACATCTAAACCCACCCCCCCCCCCCCCCCAAACTCCGCTTCCTCGATAAACGCGCTAGCCACCAGGCCTCCTGTCTCATATTAGAACCTTGTTAGATTTTCCAATTCTCCATCTTGCATTGATGCGAACGACGTCGAGTAAAAAATGCTGTTTCGCCGCTCTACCACTGGGCAGGGATTGAATCCCGCTCAAATTATCCATGAGGACCGTGTCGGGCTATTAAGTCGACTGACCTTCCAATGGATATTTCCATTGTTATCTGTAAGTCTTTGGATTTCCCGACGTATCTATCGACACTTAAGACAAACAAATCTCATCACCATTTTGCATCAAGATCGGATACTTTCGACCTCTAACAAGAGATGATACCCGGAATCAAAATCCCACTCGTGCGGTTGCGGTGCACCAACGTATTGTCTTTGAATCCTTTCAGGACCTCTCTTATCAGCGAGCTTTTCCACTTCTCTGGGCCCTGCATGGGGCCTTCAGATTCGAATTCTGGCTGGCGGGAATTGCCATGCTGTTTGCGAACCTCCTGCAAGTGATGGCACCCTTGTTGCTAAGGTATTTTCTCGTCAGTCTATCGGATGAATCGTCATCCCACGGCAGCTCCTTGAAGTTTGTGGCCTTGCTCTTTACCACCCAGATGGGGATGAGCTTTGCTCTTGTACACTATCATTACCTGGGCGGAGTGGTTGGTGGCCAGGTGAAGGCCGTTCTTACTGCGATGGTCTTTGAGAAGTCATTGAGGCTCTCTAACAATGAAAGTACCACGTGGCCTGACGGAAAGATATCGAATCTCCTCACAGTGGACTCGCAGCGTATTGAGAGTGCTCTGCTATATGCCAACATGATTTGGAGTGAGCCAGTGGCCGTGGTCGTGGCATTGGCAATCCTGTTCTATAATCTTACCTGGAGCGCGCTGAGTGGTCTCTTACTCCTTGGAGTGGGTGCAAAAGGCCTGGAATTCAGCATGGGTTGGCTGGTATCAAGGCGCATGGCAATCAATGCCGCGGTAGATCACAGAATATTGAGCCTCTTCGAAGGACTGCGCAATATGAAATTTGTCAAATTCCATGCCTGGGAGCCATACTTCCTTCGTCGGATCTCTGATGTCAGAGCAGCCGAGGTCCAACAGCAACACAAGCTATTAAGCCTTCAGAGCACGATCATGTCGTTGTCTACTTCGCTGCCTTCGTATGCGGCCATGTTATCGTTCATTGTATTCATGACAGTCCATGGCCGGCTGACTGCCGCCGAGGCGTTTTCCTCCCTGGCACTGTTCAACTGTCTTCGCAAGCCTCTTAATATCTTGCCCATTGTGCTTAACCAACTCATCGATGCATGGGTTTCCATACAACGCATTGAATCATTCCTGAAAGCGGACGATCAACAGAAGACCATCGAGTGGGACATGAACGCCGTCGATGTTATCAAAATAACCAACGGCTACTTTTCCTGGAATCATGCTGCCGAACACAATATCTCGTCTTCTGCAATTGACGAGGAGACCAGTCTGCTGTCCGCACATGAGGAATTCAGTATGCCGGGCAGTAGGATTTCGTCGTTGGCCCTAAGTAACGTTGACTTGCAGGTCACGCCAGGAGAGCTTATCGCAGTCGCGGGGCCCGTAGGCGCAGGCAAAAGTGCCCTTCTTCTCGCTCTTGCCGGCCAGATGAGCCAAATTCGAGGCCATATCGTCCTAGGCGCTACACGATCCTTCTGCTCTCAAGTGCCATGGATTGAAAGTGGGACTGTCCAGGAGAACATTCTGTTTGGAAAACCTTTACTACAACCATGGTATGATGAGGTGGTGGAGGCGTGTGCCTTAAAGCAAGACCTCAAGACATGGGAGCATGGCGACGCTACCTACATCGGTGAGCAAGGTATTACACTATCCGGTGGCCAGAAACAACGTATCAGTCTTGCGCGAACCATATACGCAGACGCCGATCTATTGCTTCTTGATGATCCTCTATCAGCTGTGGACGCGGACGTTAGCCAGCACATCTTCAACAAAGCCATTCTTGGCTTATTGCGTCGGAAAACTTGTCTTCTGGTGACCCACCAAAGGCACATAATCACCCAATGCGACCGTGTTTTATGGCTTGAAAAGGGCCATATCAAAGCCTCTGAAAACCCATCCAATCCATCGTCTGGTGATGAATTGCTGTCACATTTGATTCCCGCGCAAAAGAATTACCAGCCAAATGACTCGAAGAATGCAGAGCATGGTGCATTGACTACTGAAGACGATAAAGCAGTACATAGCGACCAAGACCAGAGTAAGTAATAATCATGGCAAAAAAGACCTGTCGTTAAAACTAACGATCTTCTTTACAGACACGGTGATAGACAGTGAGACTCAAAAGGCGGGCAGGGTCCACGGATCCGTTTACAAAACATATCTTTCTGCTTCGGGCTCAATCTTCCATTGGCCTATTCTATTCTCCATATTGATTGTTTCGCAAATAGCTGGAATCTTCACTGGCGTTTGGCTATCATGGTGGGTGGATAACACCTTAGGGTGGGATAATCGTGCTTATATAGTTGGCTATATCCTCTTGGGGGTAGTGCAGAGCGTTCTCGCGTGGGTGTATCTCAGCCAGGCTTCATTCACCGGTTTGCGAGCCAGTGACAATCTGTTCAAGACAGCTCTCTCGAGTGTCTTATATGCGCCCATGTCATTCCACACTGCCAATCCTGTTGGCCGGCTGATGAACCTGTTCTCTAGTGATGTGAATCAGCTGGACAATGGTGTGAGTGGCTCAGTCCAGGCGTTCTTCGTGCTAGTGGGCATTGCTTTCTCTACCTTCCTACTCATCTCTGTTCAGTTCCCTCTTGTAAGTGGAACATACCAGTCGGAGGTGTGATCACATTGGCCTTGAACTAATGTAAGATCTTCACAGTTTGTGTTATCATTGCCGGTGATTGCTTCAGTTGTATCCTACACTTCCGCCTACTATCGCGCTTCGAGGCAAGAGCTGAAGCGCTTTGAAACAGTATCACGCTCTACTGTTGCAGGGAATGCCGTCGAGTGTATTGCAGGCCGTCAGACTATCCGAAGCTTCGGTGTCCAACATATTTTCCAAAGCAGATTGAGTATCGCCATCGATGAAGCAAGCAACTTTTCATATCTGATGATCGCAAGCCAGCAGTGGTTGAATCTCCGACTGGATACACTGGGCAATGTTCTCATTCTGTTTGTCGGGGCCTTGATGGTCATGTCTGACAACTCCATCCCGGCAAGCATGTCTGGGTTGTTGATGACTTATGCCCTGGCTGTCGTGCAAATCATCCCTGGGATTGTATCTCAAACCGCTGAGATTGAGAATTCCTTTATTACAGTCGAGCGAATGATACAATATGGCAATGAAATTCCGACAGAGATGTCCGTGTCGGCTAGTGTGCCACCCTCAACGTGGCCGGAAACAGGAACCATAACCATGAAAGAAGTCAGCCTACGATATAAAAGTGATCATCCTCGAGCACTAAAAGACGTCAGCTTTACAATCAGTAGCGGAGAAAAGATCGGTATCATTGGGCGTACCGGTGCAGGCAAATCCTCAATTGTATCCGTCCTTTTTCGACTCTTCCCCCTGGAGCATGGGTCGGTTCTCATTGACAATGTGAACATTGCAGATTTGGACATTCATTCCTTGAGATCCAAATTAGCTATTATCCCTCAAGACCCCACTCTCTTCCAGGGCACGGTTCGAACAAACCTAGATCCATCTGGAGAATACGCAGATGATGATCTCTGCCATGCACTTCGCAAAACCAACCTTTATCCGCAAGTCCACCTTGATCGAGACGTTCAGCCAGATGGTAAGAACTTTTCTCTGGGCGAGCGACAGTTACTGGCGTTGGCACGTGTTTTGGTGCGAGACCCTCGCATCCTCGTCTGTGACGAGGCCACTTCTGCCGTCGATCAAGACACGGATCGAGCGGTGCAGCAAACCCTGCTAGAGGCATTTCAGCACCGAACAGTGATCTGCATTGCTCATCGACTGCAAACAATTATACGATATGACCGAATCTGCATTGTAGATCAAGGCAGAGTTGTTGATTTCCAGAGTCCACTTGCGTTGTTCGATTCAAATGCCGAGTTCCGCCAGATGTGTGAGCTCAATTACATCACCCGCAAGGATGTTGTTTAGTCCTGATCGGTGATCTTACCTTCGGCTTTGGAGCTTTCTTTCCTAGCTGTACTGTTGGGCATTATATAGCTATAGCGATGTTTTTTGCAGATGCTTCTTATTGATCATGTTTCGGTCGCTTTGTGCTGGCCAGAGATGCGCTTTTCCATCTCAAAACCACCAGGTATTTAATGGAATTGTGGCAAATTGAAATGCAATTAGTCGTAGATAACTTATGTAGGCAAGGTTAGGATGGAAAAAAACAATTTTAAACGACAAACACGATGATCCGAGGCTCTGGCAATGAAGCCGCCAACGAGGCGCTGTCCAGTGTGTTTTCAAAGCGCCCCCAACCGAAGATATCTCTCTGTACACCCTGCCAAACGGAAAATTGTTGAGATTGAGAGCTTCCAAGAACCCTTGTTACAAAGACAAGAATTGTGGCCATGGCCGATAGCTGATTTGCGGCAGTGGAGATGGAGCTTGCTTATGGGACCAATCTAAATGGGCCACCACGCGTCATGGGATCATTGATGAAGTCGAGGGAACTGGAAGATGCATGGGGATACACCTAAAGCTCTGAGGAACTCATCGAAACGAAAGCATTTGCTGTTCTGCTGTCATCCATTGATGACATTGATAAATTAAAAGTAGATCTATGCAGAAACTCAGAATGGATAGAGGACGCATTTCGTTTTTCATCATCCTTTCGAGGGCATCTCACATTCAACAAGACTGTACCATGTTGTACTAGCATGCTGTTAGCTGTACAGGACAAAACTGGAAAACGGAGAAGAAACGAGCGCCACGATGCCAAATCAACACTAATACAAAAAAACCCAAAAAAAAACATAGACGAATACCAACCATTCCCAAGTTGTGTGTTCATCTTGTAATTCACAAGATAACTTCCGCAATCACATTCCCCAGGGTACCCACACACCAAACAGCAACAAGACCCCACCCAATCCTGCGATCCATTCTCCAGTTGTTCATAGGAACAACAATCAAAAGCCCAACCAGGATTAGCAAAAGTGTCGCGCCGCTTATAACAAGCACCTTGGAGATGACTATGTCATACGGGACTTGCATAGGGCCGGCTCCCTGCAGCGCCTCATTGTGTCTCTGGTTCCCGCTGTTGAGGGTCATGTACAACCCACCAAGTCCGATGCCGAGGAGGATATTGAGCATAGGACCACCAAAGCAGGCGCTCAGAGCCATGACCGGATACCCGAGTCGGGCAACTGTAATATCAGCGACTAGATCGCCTAACGAGTTCCCGACGGCGAAGATCGTCAGTCCGAGTAGGGAATCAGAGATATTGAGGATGACGCCGATAGTCTTGAGGAGGGAGACAACTTCTGTAGCAATTGTGGCGATCCAGGATATGGCGACTAAGAAGCCAAGTAAGGAGAGGAAGGGCCGCCATTGCGGTGGGAGGGTGCTGATGTTGGGTCGGGATTCATGGGGGAGGAGAGGAATGGACAAATCTGCACTGGGACGTCGGTGATTTCGTTGACGACGGGTGCTTATCATGAGAGCTGCGAGACAGATGGATGAGAACAAGAGCGAGAAGAGGGAGGGAAGAACGAGGTTGCGCAGCTGACGGTCTTCGTCCACGGTGGTCCAGGCGATAAGAACCGCGAAGAAGGGACCTGTGAACAATTGAATGCAAACTAGCCAGCGATTCCAGTCCTTTGTTGGCACCGGATGCACAGGATGTGAAGCTGGCACCGGCACGGCTGGGAGTTCTGAGTCCCATCGCGGGCGACCAGTGTGTTCACATGAGGACTTTCGATGGGGATGCGTTGGCGGTACATTAGAAGGTGACTCGGCATAGTCATGTGTCTGAGCCACAATCACTGGACTATCGGCTGGAAGTCTAACCCTTGGGGAAGGATTATCTCCGTTGTCGACATCCTGAATGATGACCGAAGGAATGGGGTCCGGTTCCACAAAGTCCGGTGCCTCAGGCTCAACCACTGGGACTGTAATGGTGAGAAGCAGCACACTGGGAGCTGCTATAATACCAAGCAATTGTTCCCAGACATTCTTAGACGTCCAGCCCACCAAGGTCGGAAAGAGGGTGCAACCAATCTGCTGGGGATGGGGGATCGAGTCAGGCCACCAATTCCTCAAGGATTTGCTGAAAGGGAGGCCTACATGAGCGAATTCATCATACCCGTCGTGGATTTGTAGTTGTTCTAACTGGCTGGCTGAATTTGGAAGTCGAAGGCTTGGTGGTCGTGACAGTGCCATGGGGGGGAAATCAGTATACGATGGAAACGGCACTGATGGGCTTTCCAACCCGAAGCCCGATAGACGACGGGCTGGAGTACCCCTAGGAGATACCGACATTGGAGACCGGTCATGTATCGTCGCTCCGTTGCGGTAATTGGGGGAATTAAACGCGTCCAACGGAGCAAGCCGGTCGGGAGTTCGAGGACTTGTGGTGACTGGACTCAGGCTCGGCGACTGATTCGCGGAAGCCACGTCAAGCGCCATGCCAGTGTCAATTCGAGGGAGCCGGCGTGACTGCATGGCTTCTTGCCCCGAAGCATCCTCAAAAGAAGGTTTACTCACTGTAAGCAGTGGAGCTTGTGTTGGCCGGGGCTCCAAAATGCTGGAGTCGAATTTCAACCCCAAGGCATCGTTGGCCGACACTGCTCGAACTCGAGAGGAACCCGCTGCACTAGACGGCGACAAGCGGTCGGTACTGGCAGATGGTCGACTGGCGCGGGGATGCGATGCCACCGAGCGCGTATCGAAATCGGACTCACCGTCATTTGAATAGATGTTGAGGCTTATTGTCGGATTGTGACGAGTGTTTCTAGATTTCTGCAGCGAGTGAAGAACAGATTGAAACTCTAGTGCACCGACAAGACTCGGTCGAATGGGGTTCATCGTATTACGTCTCGAGTTCACCGGCCGATAGACGTGCATGTTATCACGAATCTCGGCTAAGTAACGGTTGCGTGTCTCGTCGTCTTCGTCATCCTCTTGTTTCCATAGAGGTACAGCGTCAGCGCGTTCCAAAAGATCAAAATCTTCAGTCGAGGCTCCACGGAGAAGACTTCGTGATTCTGACGCTACACCGGGATCATCGTCCTCGGCGGTCTCTTCGATCTCCAGCTCTTGATTTTCCGGTATATGGAAATGAGCTCGTGCTGCAATGTCTCGTTCACTCTTTCGGCGCTGTCGTACCAGATACCAGTGCCAGGTCACCACCATCACGACATAGAAGGCGTACAAGCCTACCATTGCAGCTGACTCCCATACATGGAGTTTCCCATCAGCCAGCATGAACATGCTGAAAACGACGGCCACTACGAAATAGCCCACATCTCGGATAAAACTCCTTCGTGCGACCTTAAAGGGCCGAACTAATGCCATGGAGCCGGCGACAACGGAGGTTATGAAAGTTGCAGCGCCGATCAACTCTCCAATCGCCAAGCTCCCGCTATTCGACCGCATGGCTGCGAATGTTGAAAACACGTCAGGGCTTCCATTGCCAAATGCAAGAAATGTCACGCCTGTGAGACTCTCGCTCAATCCTAGAATGCTAGCCAATGTACTCAGATCAATACACAGGAAATCGCTTGCCGCGATACCGATAGTACTGAAGAGCAACGAGAGCCAGAGAATCAATATCGTGAATGCTACCGGTTTTGCATCGGCCAGCCCACAATAGTAAAATTGAAGGTAGGAGATTAGGCCATCCTCGTGATCGGGGCAGTTGGCGCGGACGTATGCACACTGATTTTTGACGTTACGGACCAAGCGGCACTATATTGTCGTGTGACAGAACATCTTTTAGCCTCCGGGACCATCTCACAGAGAGGGATAGGAGATGGTTAGATACCTCTAGTTCGCCCTCTCGTTCAAATAAGTCTGCACGTGGCCCTGTGATTGGTTGCGCAAACTGACCATTCAAAATTGTAGTACCAGTTAGAAACCAACTCGCTGTTGCAATAAGTATAAACACCAAAAAGGTGGTGTAAAATGGTCGGATTGAATATCGTGGCTTCTGTATGGCAGGCTGCAGGAAGGACGGCAGTTGATTCATTATGACGAGAAATATGGCGGCATCGTGGGCCGAAGACTTAAAATGCTGTTGACAAACTTATACCAGAATAATCAAATATGCATTCAAGACTCAATGCATAAACAATATATACCTCACGCGTCCAACGGATGTCGGTTTGTATATCCCAGCACGGTGAGTGCGGTGAGTAGTGTGGTGATGTCAACTTGGAGGAGCTGTGGCGGGCCTCGGGAGTGGGCCAATGCGCTTAGTCCGCCGATCGCTGTTGCACTGAGTAGACAGGTTAGCGGAGTTGATCGCAGATAAGATAAGTGTAACTAGAACAACAAAGCATAGCCAAGAAGGAGGGGATGGAAATAAGAATGGGAGAATTGGATGTTGAAGGTTCAAAAGGACTAGGGTACGATCTAAACACCTGATATTCTAGGCATCCAAGCTGATTGATTACGTACAGATTGTGCATCACTGGTGCGCTTGAACCGCCGTATGTTTGTTGACTTCCCCATTTGTTTTGCTTCGACATCAACCCCTCTCTCTCCCTCGAACTTTCCATCTCAACGCCGTTATCGCCATCCCCTATCGGGGGCAACCGCAACCATGCCGCGTGTCGCAAACAAGGTACATCGCCGTTCTAATGGCACCTCGACCCCGCACAAGAACTCTCCGGTTAAGTACGTATCTGGCTTTCTGAGTTGTGATTTGCAACTAATTGAATTAGGATTCCCCTCAACGATGATGAGGGCGAAAAGGCAGCGCGCATGGAGGCTCGTCAAGCGCTTTACGATCGCCAAATGAGTCAGATTAAAGCCGCAGTCAAGACGCCCATGCCACCTCGTCGATACACCCACGATCACGAAGGGAGCGACAGTCCCGCAACACCTCGACCTTCCGGTCATCGCAATCGCACTAGCGATGTCAATGGCCGCGCAGTGACACCAATGAAGCGCGTACCTATTCTGGCCAATTTTGAAGAGTGGATGAAGATGGCGACCGATAATAAAATTAATGCGAACAACTCCTGGAACTTTGCGCTGATTGACTACTTTCACGACATGTCATTGCTGAAGGAGGGAGATGGTGTAAATTTTCAAAAGGCCAGCTGCACCCTTGACGGTTGTGTTAAGATCTACACCAGCCGAGTAGACAGTGTCGCAACGGAGACAGGGAAACTTCTCAGTGGACTGGCTGATAGCCGCGACAAAAGAGGGCGCGGAGAGGAGGAGGATGCAGAAAATGGCGATGAGGATGAGGAAGACGAGGATGGGCAGCCTCGCAAATCACGGAAAAAGGTATGGTCTGTACGGTGTCATAGATCTGGCAGTTGACTAACTGGATATTATCTAGACACGTTCCCATGAGGCTACCCTCGCGCCGTCATTCTCTTCGTTGCAACTGAAGAAGTTCGAGCTAGAGTTCGCCGTGGACCCGCTATTCAAGAAAGCATCAGCAGACTTTGATGAAGGAGGCGCCAAGGGCCTGCTTCTGAATCACCTTGCCATTGATAGCCATGGAAGAATTGTGTTCGATAGCAGCGACGACGCTGTGGATGATAGTGCCAAAATTCCCGAAGAAGACCACCGCGAGTCTACGGATCCCGACCAGCAGACTGAGAACCAAAGAAAACCAACCCACAATCCCGTAAGCGACACATTTGAAGATAACAAAGAAATCGACCTTGCCGCGTTAGCGAGCCAATTTTTTCCAGATTTGGATGGTCTCGAAGAACAAGACATTTGCCCATCGCTCAAAAACGTCGACTTGGGTGATCCCAGCGGTTCGCTGGATCTCCCCCTACTCAAAGTGCCAGAGGAATGGCGACAAGATAAGATGGACGGAGATGGACGAGCACCTGACGACCCATCTGGCATCATGCTCGACGACGATAATGCTGTCGGATTTGATGACGATGATGCTACCCTAGCTGGATTTGATCTCAGCGACGATGCTGGGTTTGGTGAAGGAGGAGAGGTATGGGCTCGGGAAGCCGCCCTGGAACCAATGTTGAATGTTCACCGGGTTGCCCACGATGGAGATAATGATGGTGAGGTCGAGGATGGCGATGAAGACGCGTATGCCATCTCAATGTCTCATCAAACCAATAGTCACGACCACGAAAACATTCTGAGCTACTTCGACAACGCGCTACAGAAGAATTGGGCTGGCCCAGAACACTGGAAGATTCGAAGAATCAAAGAGCATGCAACACCTGCTACGTCGGCACCCAAGCAGCGCAAAGAGAAAGAGCCCTTCGAGATTGATTTTACTGCCCCTCTGGATTCTGCTGTCGCAGAATTGATCTACACTCCGGCCAGCTCCAACTCCGCTGTCTCATTACCCAAGACGCAGTGGAAGACAAAGGGTCGCAACCTCCTTCCTGACGACAAGCATTTCAACTCGCGCAACCTACTCACATTGTTCATTAAGCCGAAGGCAAAGATGGGATCAAAGAAGATTTTGGGCAAACGCCGTCGGCAAGATTTGACGTCTGGTAATGGAGACATGGACGAGGCGTTCTGGGCAAATCGCAAGCCGGAAGAAAACGCCGGCGAGGAAGGTGCTGCGGGTGCCTACGATGCCAACTTCTTTGCTGATGACGACGGTCTTGCATTCCCGAACGGCATGGATCTCGACGATGACGACAATCTGCCATTCACAGATGCCCGTGAGATGCTTTCTCCGCCAGCAGACGGGCGTCAAGGCACATCAGCCGGGGAAGCAGCTGGAGCAACTGGACTCAGCGCGCTCTTGAACATGGTTGGCGCCACCCCTGGCCGACCGGGGGCTGGCGGCTACGGATCACAATTAGTGACCCAAGGTGGTCGCCGCGCACGACCAGACTACGTGGCATATGCACGTGTGGCAAAGAAGGTAGACGTTCGACGCCTCAAAACAGAGATGTGGAAGGGCATGGGCGACCGCTTAGTTGATGCTGTAGACTTCGCCTCGGTCTCGCCGCCTGGGGCCGTCTCCATAGAGGCTCCGACGGAACCCGAGAGTGAATCCGATGCCCCTGTCCCCCCCACACCCAAGGCCGAGAGCCCACAGCAGCCTGTCGGTGACAAACATACTGGCCGGCTACGGTTCACGCAAATCATGAACTCCCTGAAGGCAGTCTACCCAGCTGAAACTCTACGCGATATCAGCACTTCATTCGGGTTTATTTGTCTTCTCCATCTTGCCAACGAACAAGGCCTCGTACTGGAGAGCGACCTTAGCAAGGTGGGCGCTGATGCGGCTACCCTGGAAGAGATCTTCGTCAGTAGGGATGCGCGCGCTATCATTGAAGAGGGTGGAATGTGATAGCTTCGCTTTTGTTCTTAGTTACATGTACAGTTGATACGGGTAGAAGCACTACGATATGCACGTTGGTCATGAGTGATGGACAGGACGGTGTGACTTGGTAGATCCTTGTGGCGTTACGGTTTTACTTTTTCCTGTTCGCAGTGAATGGCGCTCTAGGGGGGGGGGTTTGCCTCTTCGAATTACGTTTTTTACTTGGACAAATTCAAGCGATTTCACATACATATATGTTCTTGTCCAACATCCAAGTAGTCCTAGGTTATGGTATCAGTCTGTCACCTTGGTAGATATCGAAGGCCGGCACAAACGCATGCTAAAAATTCCATCTAGGGTGCAGGGATGAAATTCAGTTCAATCGTTCAATTGTAACATCTAATTGTTACGAATTCATCGATTAAACATATCAAACTGTCAAGAAGGTAAATACACCAACAATGTACCAAAGGCCAAATACAGTGATACAGCCAAAGTGCGGGTTCCAGTTGACGAAAGTACGCAGATGTATCGCGCTCAGGGTTCAAAATCCCGTTTAGGTACTGCTCCCGGGCGCTTATGCTTGTGATCAGTCTCCACTATAGAGATCGGAGGGAGCAGATGCCTAGGCCAATGTTCTTACTGTCATGTGTCCCTGCTGCTCCCCAATATCTGTAGTTTCGCCGGGCATGGTCCCTGTCCCTAGGGTTAGAAGTCTCTCTAAGACAGCACTTGCTCTTTGTGCTTCAGTTGGCGTCAGTTGGCGTCAGTTCTCAGCTTCACATACGCAATGGTCAGTTTCAGTGATAGCGTGACTTGGTTTCACTAAATAAGGACTAATAGCCAAAGAGAACCGAGAACCGTGCACTAACGGAATAATTCAAGTCGGCAAAATCTTCCATCTTTCCCCGTTGACAAAAGTGTTGTAAGATATCTAGCTGTCCCAAAATTCCAAGATACAGATATGTCGGCATCATTAGGATGGACTGTCGCATGATGGCGTTGAAACTATTGTCTGAGGGAAACGACCCTACAGCTCAAATATGAGGCGTTAGGTGACCCGGCAGTGTATACAATACCAAGTTCTTTCATAAATATTCTGGATACATAGTCAATGTTGCATTACCCTTCCTCCTTCCTCTTTGCAGCCAGGGCGGACCCAACACAATCTGGAGACTTCAGTCTTGAACTAACATTTGGATGTTTGAAATTATGCAGTAAGACGTTTTTTTCTAGAGATCGAGACTTCACTGTGATGGGCGCCGGGTAGTATCATATCTATATCTGTACTCATCATTAGCAAATAGAGCTAGCATAACATAAAGTAGACGCACCATTTGGGAAGGTGATAGTAGCCACCGAGCCATTATATCGCTGTAACACAAGCAGATTATCGCAGTGGCGTGAATTTGCGATGTTAGGAATTCCACTGGGTGTAGTAATTATGATCCTTCTGGAATGAGTCCTTGCGTCTTCTGTATGTTTGCCATGGGCTCTACAGCACCGTGTGTTGTGATGTACAGATTCGCGAAGTATCGGATTGTTGAAAGTGAAGAACGAAGGCTCGAGGAATTGAACAATCAATTTTTCTGCTCAAATTAAAGATGTGATGTAGAATTGCGATGATTTTGCACGGCTTGTGTTTCAACCGATTCCCTCTGCTTTCCCACATTTTGCCAGTGCATAGTAGTTGGGGAGGAGGGTCAGCCGGAAAAAGATACATTTAAATGCTCTCCGCGGGGAAGAATTTGACATCAAACCCCTCCGTTATATATGAACAAGAGGACTGGAACGCTGTGAAGCTATGCTGGAAATTTGATCCACGTCGCAGGATCGTAATACCAGCAGATCTACCTCGATTTGACAAATCGTTATACCACCAGCCCTGCGAAATCCAAGAACCGAGAACAGTGTTTTAAATCGTTATGTGCATCTAACACCAAAACTCCACCTAGGGTGTACATTGAACTCCACAACAAGGTGATGATAAATACAAGAAGGGCGAACAGGTGTCCGATTTGGAAATAGATCGATCGAAATTGACGGCCTGAAAAGTCGGGTTCGGAATTTTCACGTTTGTTTAAATGTCATTTCACTGTAATCAAGCACATTCATTTCCCGTAAAGGAAAAAAAAATGGATTGAACCTAAACACCCCAAGTTAAAAGGAAGAAAACAGGGAACCTTGCAGTCATTCATCGTTCTAATTTACTTGCAAACAGGGGCCGGGCACGCCGGCACCATGGCACTCTGATAAGCCCCAGGAATCGACACAGAATCGTAGGTGCGCTCGCCGGGAGCACCACCCCTGTTCACAGGCGGACTCTGGTGTTGGCTATGAGAGGGTGGTGACAGCGATAAATTAAAAGGAAGAGCAAACTCTTGCTGGGCAGGGTGTGGCGTTGGCTGTTGAACCTTGATAGGAGGCGGCTGAAGCTGAAACGATGGGGTCGGCCGAGTAGGCGAACGCGGTGAGGCATACTGAGTAGTTTGGGGTTGAGCCATGCCTTTTTCGGCGGCTGAGTAGGAGTCCACGGGGCCAGCGGCGTTAAAGGGGGTCTTGGGAGGGTAGGAAGCGAAGCCTGCAAAGCCGGGGGTGTTTGGAGCGGATTGCAGGCGCAGCTGGGCGAGATATAGATTTGAACGGGCGTTGTCGCGGGTGTCCATGGACTTCATCAGCTTGCGCTTGCTCCAGACGCGGTAGAAGACTACCGCATATATTAGGATCACTAGGACCTCGATGACGACCTCGATGATGGCGCAGACAAGGCCCCAGTCTTGTAGACGACAAAGAAGAGCATAGTCAACGCTGTTGTGGTAGAGCTGCTCGCGGGTATTCTGCGCGCAGGACCATCCCCACATGTCCTTTTTATTTCCCGTGGCTCTGGAGTGCTGGTACACCGCTGCGCCGACTATCCACATAATGAGGTTCACGGCGAAGAAGGCGATCGAGAAGCCGGTATAGTAGACAGCGACCTTCTCGGCGCGTCCGTGGCCACCCTTTCGGTAGGCCCAGAGCACGATTAGACAGGCGATCAAGGAAACGCAAGCCATACCTAGAAGAAGGTATTGGGCCCATGGGTTGGTGCCCTCTGCCCAGGCAGGAAGGCTATTGCGAGCGGGCAGGTGCTTCGTTGCGTTAAAGACGGACAATGTCACGGCTAGCAGAGATAACACAATCAAACTGCAGCTGAAGTTGATGAAACGCAGGAAGAGCTTAGCGATCCGGACACGGAGTTTGATCCTCTGGTGTGAATTAGCAAATTGCATTTACTGGCATCGTGGCGCGACTTTTCGTACCAGGTCTCGGGCATTCTCGACTTCGGCTTTCTTTTCTTGCTTCTCAAGCAGGTACTCCTCGCGGAAAGTTGGGCTGAGCGGGTTCAAGGACTTGGCTGTCTGGGGAACCTTCAGGTCAGGTCGGAAAGGCGACATTGGCACCTGGTCATCCGCATGCTCATTGTTCGCTCCCACGTAACCGAATCCCACATCTCCCACATCTCCCTTCACTTGAGTCATGGGAGGGTCGGCGAAAGGTGATCGTCCGGTTTCTGTATGACCGATGGGAGAGTGAATTGATGTAGCCTCGGCAAATCGAGCAGTGCGCGGAGTCTTGAGCGAGGCATTGCTCGTATCAGAGTCGCTGCCAGTCTCTCGCACAGTGTGTTGTGGTGGGGGACTCATTGCACTGTGATAAGAGGCACGGGTGAGATCTGCAGGAACCACAGGCTCGTAGGTCACAGGAGAGTTATCTTGGCTATCGTCTGAGACCGCCATTGAATGGATGAACAACACAGGCAAATTAATCAAACAATTAGGTCAAGAGAGCCGGCTCTTGACTTGACGGCCACAAAACTGGCTTCTGGGAATATAACGATCCACAATCAAGTAGAAAATACACCAAGAACCACAAGTGTGGTAGGACAACGGCTGAACTATATCGGGATTGCAGTCAATCACCGATACCGTGTGCGAAGCCTGAGTTCACAGGTATTAAACAGCAGATGGCGGATAGGAAACAGAAAGAAAGTAGATGATCAGAAACTGCCAGGAACCGGCCTGGGCACCTTGAATATCAATAATGTTCGAGTGCTGGCATGGTTAGAGAGGTGGGGGGGGGACCAAAATGCAGGCTTTTGATTCTCGTCACTTGAGTCGGGCCAGAGTAAGCGCCGAGGGGGAATTTGCAGCATCAACCAGGGACATGATTGGAAGATCCATAAGCCTGTCAACTTCTCTGGCTGCAAGTGCTCTGTACCTCAAGGCGTTGAGAGGGGAGTACGACTGGCCGGCAGGAGTGATCAGCCAAGCTTGTCACATTGGAGTAACGGGCCAGTGAGATCGAGGGGCCATGCTCGCTCCTCACAATGCACCTCCATCACCCCAGCCCGGCGCTAATCCGCCGATTGTCCAACCACACGGGATACAGAACCGCTCTACTCCGTAGTGCGTGAAACGAATGAGTGGTCCGAGGGAAACAGGGAAAAAATGTGACTGGGCAAAAGTACCCGGTCAACCCAAATTCAAGGCCCAGTCATACAGCTCGATTAAGCACCCTTTGGATATTGGTTTGAGAAGTTGGAGAGGGGGGTCTGTGCACCAGGCCATTGCTGTGAAGCAGACCAGGTCACACTCGTGATAGTGCCTAGTTCGCGCATATTCATCACCAGCTTTTTCAGGGGATAGGGATCTCTCCAACATTGCTTCCAATTTTCAGTAATCAGTACACAAGGTAAATCATTCTTCACTTTGGTTTACTTTCACAGATTCTCATGCCCGATTCTGATCACCAAGCCCATGGTTGCCATCCTAATGTAAAATCTACCCAGTTAGACCTAATGAGTGCAAGACTTTCCCAGGCTCTATATCGTTGTATGCGTGAATTTTAAGATTGGTAAGCGCTCAAGACAAGGAGGCCACCCAGCCTGCAGACATGCATAGCATGCCATTTTAGTCCAGAGGTACCTTGGTATCAGTATCCTTCATTCCCCTTCACCTTCTCTTTTTAATTATCCTCAGCTTCTTCCCGTTAATTAACATTTCTATCGACCTTGTGGGGGAAACAGTCCAGTAGCTCATCCTTTGCAGCAGTCAGTCACCGGCCATACATCGAATATCTGTCAACGAATGAGTTTTACCGCTGACGAGAAACGCAATAAGCCCACAAGCATTGGTTGCTGTCTCTTTCGTCCTTCTATATTACACGATAACCGATTGACCAAAAGAAGCCATGGTTGAAATGATCATCTGAATTTGAAGGAGTCTGGTATCATGACTAGTCAGAGAAATGCCGCCGAGATATTAATCACAAGAGCATCATCGATCTTCTGACACATAGATATAGGTCGTCTCATGTTACTAGTTATGTAGTCAAAATTTGTGGGGCTTTCATATGATCGAAGATAGTGTCCGT